CTATTGTTGAATTGCGTAAAACATTATTATCACATTTCCCCCTAAGTTTTTATGTTAATTTACTGATAATACCCATTTTCCTCTTAAAAATCAATCTTAAGTTTCTGTTTTTTAAAAACACTATGAATTTTCTTTAGTCGACAGCCTGTGTTTGTTCATCATGTGATGCAAATATCACTTCAAACCAATATATTATATGCCTTGCTCAAGAGGGAAGTTCACAGACGTATATTAATCCGTCTGGTATTTTACACGATATTGTAACTGTGAGTCAAGTCACACCGAATTCTGTTAATCTTATCGGTGAGGCCTCAGCTGAATATTCCTGGTTCCCTGGGTATGTTGATAAGTTGTTTTTCTGAATATATCTGTCAAATATTTTATAATGTGAAGATGCAATGAGTCTTGTATTACCGAAAATTTGATTATTGTGTTTCTTGCGGGACGTTTTAAAAACGATTACCCCCAAAAATATAGACGTTGTACAACACTTTTGCCATTGGGATTTTTCAGCCATTCTGTTTTGACTTATGGTTTGTCTTTTTCAATCGGTACGCCTACAATCTTCTAATATAATGGAGATAGATCTTCCTCAAACCTTTACCAGGTCGCTTATGCGTACTTCAATATATTAAATTATTAATTGTTTCCAATAATCTAGCATTATGAGTTAGTAAAGACGTTGTGTTCTGTCACTCTACCTAAGTTTGTTTTTCATTAGCCCTTAGAAATGGTAATCTCTCATGAAAACTACTCTATTGTAAACAATTTAACAACTCAAACGAAAAAATAATTCATCCCGAACTCATCTCTTCAAACATTTAGGCTGTATCAAGATTTGTAGAACAAATTAACTCATTATATGTGAAAATGATATTTGAAATAATCTCAGCGATTGCAATTTAAATATCATTTTCACATATAATGACTTCACTATACTCGGTGCTTAATTTCTGTCAAGCTATTCGTTCTAATCTTGACGAATATTCGTATAAATCAACAAATATTTTGGAGTTTTGTTACTTAAATGACCCGGCAAAATCAATTGAAAGACAAACATCATAAATTATTTCGAAATACAAGCATTCTACGCAGATTGCCTCTATATTGCCACTGAGTCACAAGCACTATAAGAAAAGGCGGACAAGCCAGTGGCTATCTGAACTCAGTAGCTTGGTGGATAACGCGATATCGGACGGTACTGGTTTCGACTACTGGAGTGAACATCAGTCCTGGGATGCAGGTACATCCGACTGACGAGTTCCGAACAGGTCAAAAGGCGTGTCTCGGATTCCACTCCTAGCTACCATCCACCTGTGTTCACTGTAAACAGAGCCTTCTTGATTCATAAATTTTCATGTCTTTCGCCCATAGTGTACAATGTACATACTGATTAAATAGATCATACCAAAGATATCAAAATTATGAATTAATTTATTTTGTGATTTGGCTCCATTAAATGAACCATTGACACAAAGGTGCATAATTAAAATAGAACGAATTGTTGATTCATTTCATTGGTTCTTATTATTGTGAGAGATTATCTCATTTTCTCATTGTTGTAGTTAGTATTTTTAAACAGAATAACTCTTCCATGTAAGCTTTTGCGTTGCAAAACATTATGTGTATAAAAATATTATCACTCGAAAAATAATTCAAGATTCGATAGGTCAAATAACAGATATTCCATTTTATAGAATTGTTGATGACCATGTACTACATAATGTGTCACATGAGCAGTAGTAAACTATTAAGGACAGTCGCCATTACTGGGTAGCCAGATCAGAAGGTTTCGTATATTAGACTTCGGTTCCCCTCTCTCAAATCGGAGGCTGTCAACTGTGATCTTTATTTACTCAGTTTGACGAATCAACCTGTTAAAATAACGCTATTTGTAGTCAGCATACTGGTGAACGATTTGTGTTGGTTTTGGTCATCATAATCTATCTAACCAAACTTTTGTAAATAATTTTTTCCAACAACGCCTTTTAATTTCTTATCCACCTTGTGTAACTACGTGCTCTTCAATACTTTCACTATTTTAGTTATTCTTGGACAATAGCCAATTGTAATAGTTGTTACCAGCATATGGGTTGGTTATTCAAAGCGTTAAATGATCAGTTACGTCCACGAAAATTTTGGGGTATCCGACGTCAGACAGTTGTACCCGGTTTAATAAGTGCATCAGATTGGCGTCCTTGTATTTAATTCGTTAAGGAAAAGTATCTTGATTTTTATCTTTAACAAAATTGTTATCAACCGATATTGTCTTGTTCATTTCCTTTGTCATTAAAGTTTTATGTGTGAAATTTGAGTCATATATATCGTCAACACATTTTAACTGTTGCGAGTTGTTTATACGCATAAGTTCATAATTTGTCATTATTTTCCTCTAAGGTTATCCCTCGTGTTTATTATGATTTAAAGCTGTAATATAAACAAACAACTATTTTTTAAATAAACTGTTCACCTCGGCTTTAGCTTCTAAGGCTTTTTTTTCGAAAATACTGTTCACATTTTGATTGTACTGCTTTTCTTCCTAAATGTGATTTTCATTTGTCAACTCTCGCTCCGTTCAAGTCCATTTTTTCTGTCGGTCCACAGGTTTGTTGTTGCTTTTTTCATTAATTTTAAAATAAAATTGAACAATTTGAGATCGAATTAATTCGTTCATGTTCAATGCATGGGTACTCATATGATGTTTTTGTTGAACATTTTATTGCTTGTTTATCTATTATTTCTTTCACACTAAGCAGAAAACTTCATTGATTTCATTATGACGCTCTCACTTACCTACTCATTTAAATAATTTATTTTTCATGTAATCAATCTGTGTACATTTGGCATTCATTTTTTATCTTATATGATTGAGTGAATGACTTCTATAAATTGGTTTATAAAATTTAGGGAGATTGTTACTTTAGCTAACTTTATATGTCAGCATTTTTCATGCTAAAGCAATGTTATCAGTATTGCTGATATTAATTTTATTGTTTACAACATGTTTATATTGTTAATTTTAGGAAACCAATCAGTGTTCCCGCATTGCTTCTTTATTCTACCATTTACCATAGTTTTATAGTCTAATGATTTAATATAGGTGCAGGTTTGCCTTTGGCTGTCGTCAGTATGAACTAACGATCACTTACTTTTTATTGGGAGCTGATTAAATAAATAACTACATGTAACACTTGATTATTATTCACTATGAAATGCTCATAGCATTTGACATCCACACGTTGATAGACAAGTTATTTAATTCTCTTCTGTTATAACACAGTAACCTCATACGTTTATGGTGTTAGATCTGTTAGACTTGTGATGTTATGTCAAATATTTTTGATGACACTAGTTACAACTTAGCTGCTATCGATAAATTGAGATTCACTTAACACGGAGGAGGATAATCATATACCTTAATTTTATATATACGATCTACAGGTACTAGTTACTAAAATTTCTTTCATTGTATGATGCTTTAATTATTATTAGTTTGTTGTTTTTTTGAACTGGAAAAGACAGCTTATCCTGGATAAGCAGCTCACTAGGTTATTTGATATTGACTTAATGTTAGTCTTCAGACAGCTTTAAATCTGTTTCAATAAATTTGTTCTGTGTAGTACCTACCAATTACCGAGACGTTCTACTTCAAAAGTTCTCACTATTTCTCAGTGTGATTGAACCACGACGATTATACATATAAATAGGTCAGAGGCCAAATGATTATCTCAGAGGATTTACGTTTCATTTAATTCAATACGTTGAATTGTTGAGCCAGACACTAAAGTATGTCCTACGTGCATAAGTCGTGTTGAGTAGACAGCAAGGAGTGAGAGCACAGTAAAAAATGAACTAGAGTAGCACGTAGTAGAAGAAACAATTCAATATTCTCAATGAATATAAACCCGAACAATCGTTATTCAAACAGTAAAGTTAGGATTTAATGTAATGAGTGAAATTATTTTGCTTTCGATAGCTGAGTGTAGAACATACAATGTGCCATCGAACGAAACGGAGTTTACACACAATATTTGCTGCGGCGACCTCCGGTATTTTTCTGGTAACGCATCTACAACTTTCATTTCTTCATACGAATGATTTGTTAGGTCTTCACACTCCTGTGATATACACATGAAACTGGTATTATCTTTTCTAATTTATCGTGTCTCGATTGCAATTTCTCGAAATTATAAATGCTACAGGGTGGCGTTTTGTTTGAATAATATGCAACCGACGACAGCCTGACAAAATCGAACAGATTCACGTTAACTAGGTTTTCTCTGGTCACTAACTAAAGATGTATTATTCCGACAACTCACATATCGTGTCTCAAGCTTGCATGTAATTTTTACACATCGCGAATCACCAAAATATACTACTGATTATTTTATTAGAGTAAAACTCAAGCTTATAATAAACATTCAAAGTGCACAAACTACATGCTAGTTATGGATCAGTTTCTATAAAATTGACGGCGAGTACCAAAACCGCTGAGAGGATGTTACTTGCTTGTGCAAGTCTCCTTAGCAGTGCATATGGTACGGGGTCACAGCTCTGAACTGTCGCGGATATATATTTAAACCATTGAATCAGAATACAGTTGTCAACATTGTACATACACCAATATCAACGGACTATGATGCAGTATAAGTTAGTGACATCATCTATCCTTAACGACAATCAATTTATGAGCAAAAAATGCCAATTGTCTGAAACTTAACGATCCAATCCTACTGATTAGTGGCCAAATGATGTAAATAAGGATCCAGCGCTCGATAGTTAACACAAGTCGCTAACTATAACTGTACCGCGTAACTCGATACGATAAATGATGTGTTCACACGCGATTTTGTGTTGTTAGTAATTTGGAAAAGTAGTAAACTGGAAGTTTACAATAACGTCGAGTCAACATATATAATTGCGAAATCAATCCAGGAGAAGTTAGTCTATGTTGTAGTATCTGACAGCAATTTGAAATTGTTCCCAAAAAGATAAATTTATACATCTGGCACGAAAACTCTGCCCTTAATTATTTTCTGTAACTGCTTACTTTACGATGATAAGACACGATATCATCGAATTACAAAAGTTTACAAGGGAAAGTAAGTAATATGGGAAATCTTTTGTGAAATTTTACGAAAAGAGAAAAAAGCAGTTACATAACAATCTCACAAAAAGAAAAATCAAATCATTTACTCATTAAAAGAACATTATTTTTTGCATCCGTTGATAATGTTTAAACGTAGTTAAATGCTTTCCATTATCATGAAAAAATTATCATACTGCCGAAAAGGCAACTAAACATTAAAAATAAACGAATGAAAAACACAACAAATAAATCGACAGGATTCAACTATGTACAATAAGATAATGAGTATAGATTATTGTAGGACACCAAAAAAATTACACTGAACTTTAGTTATTATTAGTTTATTACTTGGCGACTTTTAAAACAACTACTGATCACTACAAAAATCTCCCTGAATGTTAATCAAAACGGAAAATATACAAAAGTAACATTAGTCATAAACATACAACAAAGAACATAATTATAAATAAATTTAAACTTTAAAAAATATCCGGAGAAACACAAGGTTTATTTTCAATAATTTGCTTATCAAATTGAGAAGAAACATGTGGTAAATTACGAACTGGTAGACATTCATCAGCTTCATCTTCTACTTCTTCATCATTTTCGTAATTATTTCCATTTAAATGGTTTTTAGATGTATCAAATGAGTTTGCCATAATATTGTCTGTAGATTCAACTTTACAGCCACCTGATTCGACAGAAACCGATTTCACATTATCTTTGAAAAGTGAATTATCGATATCACTTGTTTCGGAAATGATCAATTCTGAAGTTGAATGTTGGTGACTTGATTCATCTGATTGTGATTCAATAATACCTTTTGATTTTATAGAGATATTTGTTGGTGGAATTTTTCTGTTCGTCGTTACAGAATCACTATCACCTTGACTGTCCTCCTCTTGATCATCATCATCTTCACACGGTTGATAATCACTATCAGAAGAATACTTTAAAACTGTGCGATTAGACTGGGAGCGTTTTGCTTTCAGACTGGCAGATATTGGAGTAGGAGACCGATCAGCATTGGTTTTATTGATTTCAGCAACCTCTTCTTTTTCTTCCTCTTCATCATCTAACACTCCACGAATTTTACTTTTATTTGTAACAGGAATTTCCGAAAAATTGTGTTCAGAATTATCTGTTGTTTCATCGTTTGATTCACGGTAACTAACAACTGTTCGGGTACACCTATAAATAAAAATAATAAAGTTTCATCCTGTACACTATACCAAACAGATAATTGATGAGTACACATTATCAACAAGAAACGATTAGAAAACTAGTTAACAACCATAAAAACACACAAATTTGTAAAATTATTATGACCAGTATTTATTTAAGACTCACAACAGACTTAAAACGTCAATTGGTTTCAAAACTTCATTAAAAGGTAGCACATCTGGGCTGCTGAAACTCATTAAGAATGAATGAAAGTTAGCGTGCCCAACTATGGAAACTTATTGTGAAATCAAGTGTCAGAGTGATAAATATTGAGGTACACATTGGTTTAATATATATATACACTAATATCTAACAACAGTGAATTCACAGGTTCATAGTACAGTTAAAGTTACCAGACATTGTTGATTGTAATAAAAAAACAAAAACGGATTAAAATTAAAACTAAACGGTTCATTAGTGAAAAATAGTTTGCATGCTGACTTCTCGATCATACAATCCAATTCTTTCTTATGAACCAGCATTACTAAAAGCAGATCTCGAATTTCGGCGTAAACAAGGAGCAAAAAAATTCTACATAAGTTTATAACGCTAATGTATTGAGTATCCAACCATGAACTGGAGGGAAGGAAAATATTCATCATAATTGTGAAACCTGGCAGCCAGTTGCAAAACTTTAAGACAAATGTGTATTCGTTAAGGTTACAAGAAAGGACAAAGACAATGTGACTCCCTACGAAGGTTCAATCGCGTAAAAGAACAAGAATGATAGTTGAAGTGCTAAAAGATATGGATAATTACAAATCATGTTAACTTTTATAACCTGAAGTAACAAGCAAATTTTACAATTATTAACTAAAAAGTAATATAGAAAGCAAAGGCCTATTCTATAAAAATGTTTTTTTTCCATGACTTGTAAGATAATATTTGTTCACAGGGTATAAACGATAAGGACGGGCCACAAATCTACAAAGCAATGATACAACAGAGTCAGCAAAGGTTCCTAAAGTTCTTGTTGATGCATTTCTGGTAGGCGCATCAGTCTGGATTTGCAAAAGCATTTCCAAATATAAATCTGCGATTTTTATTTGCGGTTTGCCATCATTTGATAGACTTGACGGTATCTTTAAGCGATCAGCCTACAAAAGTCACACACCAAACTCGTAATGCTCATTGACAAAACAAAAAAGGAATTCTGGGTGCTTAAACTGGTATAACTTAAATGTGATGAATGTTCACAGTCCGTAGAAAAGGAGGGAAGTGAATTCAAATATTAATTCCTATTTAAAATCTGGGAGTACACCAGGAATGTCTTCGATTACATGTTAATAAAGCGATTTTAATCTAACTGAAATATGATTTCAACGAAAAATGAAGTAAAGAAAATCAGAAGCGCCACTGTCTTACTAATCTCACAACAGAAAAATTCTACATTATATCGTTATTTATTTATTTGAACACATAGATACTGGTACAAGGGGACACCAGATAAATATACGCCACACAAATCTCATTTGATTTGTGTGAGGGCTAGGATACTGCCCGGGTATTCAAACTGAAGCAGGTAGTTTTCTTGGGGGCCACACCCGAAGTATTCGACCTGAAGGTCTGATCCATAAGGCAGTGGAGCAACGTCAATAGATTTAGTCCCATGTTAACCAGTGACCAAAAATAGGTTCAAACGCCATTTGCTCCCTTAGAATCCTAGAGCCCATATGCACCATAGGTTTGGAATCAGGGTTTCCCAACTCCTCTAGGTGGACCATCCTTGTCCACCAACCCGGTCAAAGAACCGGACGTTCTCTTTTCGTACTCTCAATCTCGGAAACAATTGTGATGCCGTGAGAAGCCAGTGAGTAGGACTTGCCTGGCAGTGGTTGTATGCACGTGGCCATGTGGGAGCGTTTCGATAGGGAGAACCGACTCTCCTCACTCTCGTCTGTACCAGGGCATTTGGGGATCAGTGATACTATGGAGCGAGAAGCAAGCTTTCCAGTTAGGTTTTAATCTCACTAACCAACGAAATCTGTACCTTCCAATCATTTACCTTTCAACTGGCGCCTAACAAGACTAATTTTTATACGTAATATTCTGTATGTTAGTATGTTATTGTACCACACTAAAACATCCGTTTTCTGGCTAATGGTTTTGCCTTTTGACGCTGATTTCGGGACGTTCAGGTTTGTTAATGAGTCCCATGGGCAGTTATCACTCGCTTACATCGTACCACCACAAATCGTCGGTCAATGTGTATTGTATACATTCCTAATTTAGCGATTCCAAACTCGTTCATGATCGTAAGCATAAACTTTTAATCCAGAAAAAAAACAAGGAAGCTTTGATTTGGAAATCCAAGATTTACATGCCAACAAGTAATAACACAAGTTCGAAGTGTCTATAACTTCCCATTTTATTCTTGAAAACGGGAAAAACGCATCATCAGATACTGCAGCTAGGGTTTATTTGAGTAAATATAGGAAAATATTAAATGACCAACTAAGTGGAACAACTGCTTATAGTTAGCAATGAAATGGTGTGTACTTTACCTACCCGTCAATCGTGTTTATAGTGATAATCTACTAACAGAATATACCTTGATATGCAATAATACAGTATAAATATACTAGTGAGTGAATGTTATTGAACTTGTCGCAGCTGAAAGTTGTGATTCTGAATTAGACAGTTGAATGCCAACTACTGAATTACGGGTTAAAACTAACTCTATTTAATCTAGTATAGAGGTTGTGGAGATTATTACGTTTTTGATTGAGATCATGAACCGATTTATGTTGGACCACCACCTTTGGAAACCTGGAAGCACTGGACACAACCCCTATACTAGTAATCAACATGTGCTCACTAGTAACTAGCTTCGTGAGGGAATTCTCGGAGTTCTAGTAAGAAGCTGTGATCCGTGGAGCTAATCCATGTTGGGTAGAGACAGGTATCTACCTCAGTACAATGGAAGTTGGTCGCGCAATTTTGTGGATTGGTTGATGTTAGACACTATCACCATTGGATGCCGGCTCAGTGGTCCAGTAGGTTAAGCGTTCGCGCGCGAGACCGAAGGCCCTGGGTTCGAATCCCGCGAGCGGGATCGTGGATGCGCACTGCTGAGGAGTCTCACGATAGGACGAAATGGACGTCCAGTGCGTCCAGGTTTCCAACATCAATCGGTTCATGATCTCAATCTATTGAATCTAGTTTGAGTATCTGGGCGTTGTTATTAATCATAAACAATATGTATAACTAGCAGTACAACACACAAAACTATATTCAGCCATTACGTTATATACTTCCCCAAGATCAGTAAACAGACACAACTTTGTGTGCTAAGCTCCGAGCAGAAACTATTGAGTGGATGATAATGATAATTCACTTTTAACAAAAGGAATGAATGTACGGGATTCACTGCTGTGATTTAATGACCGATAGTTTTCGTCCCAAACTAGTAAGAAACATTTTAAAAATTTGAATGTCAAACTTAGTAAATAGCTCACCTTCTAGTCCGTAATACTGCACGATCAGATCCTTCATCACTGTCTTCAAAACAAGGGACGGGTTTTCGAGACCGGTAAGAACAGTTGGATGATCTTTTCTTTTTTCGAGTATTTCCACGTGACGAACGAGAATTGTGTCGTGTTGAAAGCCAACTATTATCACTTGACAATTGTTCAAACTCATCGCTTGAAATATGCTTCCGAGAGTCGACATCATCTTCACTTTCTGACACTTCAGAAGATGATGGTTTAAAATCTTCATCTCTCGTTCGACAACTCCGTCTTGCTTTACCATCTACTGAATCTTCATTCGAATGTTCACTAGAAGAACTAGAAGACAGATCAGCAATGCGACGCTTTTTACGAGATCGCATACTGTTATCTTCTTCAAATTCTTTCCAATCCGGCCCCAAGATGTTCGATAGGTCTTTTCCACGTGAACACTTAGGCGCATGACCGTTAAGCTCACATTCTTCGTCGATAACATTTTCACCATCAGTGTGGTTATAATGTTCATTAGTCTTTCGTTTTAGTTTGCGCTGCTTTTCTTCTTGATATTTTTCGTCAGCTTCTAGTGCTTCATCTAGCTCTTTGAATGCTTCGCTTACTTTATACCTTACTTGGCGTTGGCGGGTATTTCTACAAGGAAGTGGTTCATAATCAGACTCGACTGACTCTGATTCTTCAGACGTTTCTTCTCGAAAGTTTACACGGCGTGGTCTGGAAAACTGAGTCTTTGCTTTTGGTCGAACTTGACGACGACGCCTAGTTGGATTCCCTTGAGACCTGCCGTCAACACCAGAGTCAGTGTTGGAGTTAGTATTTTTAGTATCCGAATGGGATGCAGAAGCAATATCTTCATTTTCTTCATCACTATACGAGTCATCGCAAGCATACTTAACATTGCTCTTTTGAGTATTACGCAGTACTTTTCCTTTCTTGTTTTTACGCTCATGAAAATCACTATCATCTCCTAAAATGTTCGTCATACTGATATTAACAAAATTCAAGCGCTCTTGCATACGCTTCCAAATATTTCGCTTCTTCGATTCAGCCTCAAGAACAGTAATGGTTTCGTTTAAAGCTGATATCAGAGTAGCGTGTTGACAACGAGGACAAAACCAATCGCCTTCTGGAATAATATGTAAAGGAGGTGAGAGACACATAGCATGATGTCCCAAATCGCATCGGTCGCATAACAGCATCCAATCGGGTAAATGTGACTTAAAGCAAACTTGACACGGTTCTTCCTTTTCGTCTGCATTACAATTAGTATTTGGATCTGATTCAAACTTCTTTTGTAAACGTTTTTGCCTGGCCAAGTTCCGTCCATCGGTTACACTATCAGCATCACTTTGAATATCCAAACCGTTTGGGTCGAAATCACTTTCAGGCGCATCTGACCATTCAGGATTTATGTTTTTGCCTGGTTTTTTTGGCGAATGAAGATTTGATTCATCACTATCTACATTTAAATGTTGCATAAGTGCATTTTCAAATGAGTCATCTTCACCATCTGAGTCACTAGAAGATGTTCCATAAATCCAAGGATTTGAACCCTTTCGAGGTTTTTTACGATGACGTTTCTTTTTTCGTTTTTGGTTTTTATTTACTACATGGCCATTTGCAGTGAGGTGTATTTTTACAACAGGTACTTTCTGCTTTTTAGGTTTTTCGTTTTCGTTATTGACCTTGTGTAATGAGTTTGAAACTGGGGTTGGTAATTTTGGACGTTTAGATTGAGATGGTTGAATATTAAATACTTGAACAGGCTTACGTTGCCTACTACTGCGTCGTAAATCCTGTTCGTTAACAACAAGTTCTGAGCTCTTGGTCGAGCTGTTCTTCCGAGACTTCTTTGACAAAACAGTAGTACATGGTTCCACAGCTGATGACTCGGAATCTTGGTTTGTATGTTCATTGCAATCATCTTCTGGTCTTAGGACTTGTTCATTGGGACATTCTTGCTTGATGTGATATTCTGTGCTAAAAGAATTTAAAGGAAATTGTATGTTTATTATCTTTAATACTGATTAGTAAAAAATATGAAGCAAACAATAATTGGATATTTGATCTGCAGTAACATAATTGTTCAATAACCTGTAACGATTGTTATCCAGTTTTACTTCGTATTCAGTGATGGTTTAAATTAATAGAGAACTTCTGTCATACATAAGTTAGAAATCAACTGTTTGTTGGAGACATCAGTTGATACAGACGACTGATATTGCCACAAGTACAACGAAGATGCTGGCTAACTTATTCTGAAGACAAATCATGACATATTTACAAATGATCAGGCAAGATTATAGTTTATCTACAAAAAGTAAGCAAGTTGTTTTTACATTGTAAACTAAGCTTATGCAGTAAGGAAAAGCGTATTTTGATACGTTATATGGTTGTAAGATAGTGTTCAACTACAATGCCATTTGAGCATATAAGAGAAAGAACGCAATAACTTTCGAATTCTGGATGCTATTTCACCTTCACTTTAATCGCAAGCGAGGTTAATAACTGATAGGCTAATATAAAACACAGACCCATGTTTTCTTTGTCTTTGTGTAATGTATACGCGCTACTTTGGACAAGCAAAGTGAGTATGAACAAACATCAGTTTAAGATTTGGATAACTATACAGTAAAAAATGTTTGTTGATAGGTAAACAGACGTACTTTGCATCAAGACATTTTTGTTCCACCTCAAGTTCGCGAACAACATTATGATTTTGATCATCCGTTTTCCCTCTGTCACTAGAAACCACTTTTTCACTTAACCCACTATTTTCTTGACTTTCCGTTTTGACTGAATGCTCAATCTTTGAAATTGCTAATAACATGTCGACTGAATGAATAGTTGGTTTTTGATCACAAGTAGGAGTTGGTGGTGGTGTAATTGCAGGTTTTAAGCAATCATTTGGCTGCGATAGCGGTGAAACAACAGAATCCTCGTCATTTTTTGAAATTTCCAGTTCCGGAGAGGCTACATCATCCTGTATCAAGTTTGTCCATTGATATTTCAGATTTGATCTGTCTGAGGCTTGCTTTTTCTTAAAAATACTTTCGAGCTTCTCATCTTCCGAAAAGGCTTCTTTCAATTCCTCGATGAGACCACGAACGTCGTCAAAAGATTCACACAACAACTTAGTGAAAAAGAAACACAAAATGAGCAAATTAGGGGTGCTGAACTAATACGCTTGGATGAAATCAAAACCATAGTTCCCAATATGCCGACTCATTAGTAGGAGTGACCTCAGCCCTAAGATAATGAAAACAATAAGTAATAAGACTAGTAAAACATGCATTCTGATCAAAGAGACAAAGTCCTTTCAGCTGTTTCTTATTCGTTTTTTTTGGAATATACTCATACATCTCTTATTTAGTTCATTCAGTGTTGTTGAGAATTTACAGAAATTGAACTAAAATACTCTTTAGAGTATTCACTTAATGTAGATAGGTTGTTTAATAAATAAACGTAACTCACTGAAAATGTTTACATAATTTGCTTGCAGTCACAATATTCATGTTAGTTGTAATACCACCCGGCTGCCTCGACTAAGGTAGATGAAATGGGATTCCATCCTTTAATACGACCGTTGAAAGCTCAGTACTTTACCAACTAACCTAACACTTCTTGGTCAAGAGACAAAACATAGCACAAGAAAGAGAGTGGGGGCACCGGATATATATGCTCCACCAACCCTATGTGATAAATGAGATCAGCATCGTTCAATGTTTCACAATAAATCAAACCAGTTCAACTGGGAAAAGTGAGGAGGAAAAGTGACAATCAAGCACTGATTAAATATTGCGTAAAAAATTATTCCAATTAGAACGAAGAATTGATCTCAAAAGACTTACACCAAACCTGTAGTAAAAGCGCATTGATCTGCTGAGTTTTAGAAATAAGTTGACCAATTGGAAAGCAATTTATTGAATATATAGTACATAAAATAACAGGATTCTCGCAGTAATTTACCACCACAACGTTAATTTACTTGAATTATTCTTTTATAAGGTATTAATAGAAAGGACTCAGTAACTGTGTACAGATTTACGTTCCCGACTTCCAACCATTTTCGGAGAAAGTTATCAATATTAATTTTTGTTCAGACCAAGGTACATATGAAGCGGCATCAAAACTTGGAACTCAAATTTAGAAAATCAAATCATTTAGTAAACAAAGCCCTACCGATAAGTATTACATGAATAATATAGGAAAAACACAAGAAGTACTTACCTGGAAATTGTTTTCCTGATGATCTTCCCTGTATAAGTAAATATTTATATCTGAATCTTTCAGAAGCCAATAGCTTCTACCCCAAACATCAATCCCCAAGGGAGGAAATCGTAAATCAACAGGAGAGCGTAGATTTGCCTTATCTTTGAAGGGTTGATTCCGATCAAACTGAGTTTCCAAAAGACAGAGAAGAGTTTTAACACGAACGTTCGGCGAGAGCCTGTAGTAACTAGAGACATATCCAGGTGACTCTTGAATAAATACATTAAGCTTTTCATTATTTCCACATTCACTGTTTAAGAGAAGCTCAGCAGCTGTTTGAATTCCATCAATATGAAGACCATGACTAAGCAAGAAACGACCCAAAACCGGTTCCCAACGATCAGGACGAGCGCGGTATTTTAACTTATTGAGCAATTTAACGTGAAGAGTTTCCCATATTTTTGTTTTTGCTAATAAAAAAGAACTGCGAATGATTAGCGTATGACATGCTTGTATATACACGAGAAAATTACACTTTCTATAAACAAACTAGGGGTATTTATTTGTTTAAACATATGATCATTGTTACAAGGAGGCACCAAATATATATGCGCCACACGAATCACTCAATTCGTGTGGGCACTGAGATACTGCCTATATACTCAAACCGAAGCAGGTGGTTTTCTTAGGGGACCACACCCGAAGCATTCGACCTGAAGGTCTGATCCACAAGGTAGTGGAGCAACGTAAGGTGATGCAGTCCCATAGTAGCCAGTGACCAACAATAGGTCCAAACACCATTTTTCCCTAGGACCCTGGAACCGATGTACACCATTGGTTTGAAATCAGGGTTTTCCAACTCTTCTAGGTAAACCATTAGTGTCCACCAACCCGGTTAAAGCACCTGACATTCTCTTTTCGTACTCTCGATTTCGTAAACAACTGTAATGCCGAGAGAAGTCAGTGAGTAGGATTTACCTGTCAGTGGTTGCACACACATGGCCATGTGAGGGCATTTCGAGAGGGAGCTGACTCGCCCTACCCTCCGCCGTACCAGGGGATCTGGGGGCATCTAAAAGGTTCAAGGAAGAACCTATACTTCATTGTCATAAATTACGGACAGCTCTTATACTTGCAACTGATTTATGATGTGCTCGTGATATTTAATGAGGCATCCTCCTGAACTTCATTAATGGATATTTCATTAAAAGATATTTTTCGCGGTATGTTTCCCTAACTAGAGACCATGGCTTCTTTTAAAGAACGTTCTTTGATCAAAAATACTTTCTTTTGAAACCGTATGTTTATGTGTTAGTAAACAAGGAAGGGTACAATATTTTTAAGCTACGAACATAGGTGAAATGAAAGAAGAATAAGATATATAGTAGGTAAAGAATGGCAGATATATTGGGTGTACATCATGGCATACAGTTAGGTGTAAAACGGTAACTGTTGGCTAGAGAATATATATAAAAATGTTAACGAGTAAACGAAATATAGTCAATAAGAATCTCAGGTCTCACTCCATCTACCACCTATTACTGAATTCATTTAACATCCGTACAAAACCTTGTCAGTTACCAGTTTGCCCGAGTTAATCAGTACAGAGATAAGTAGTCAAAAAGTGCCAGATTAATTACTCGGAAAGAGATAAAACTTTATGATTAGATGAATTTAAGGACTTCTCGCGTTGTGAACCCAGAAGCTTTTAAGACCCCGATTCCTTTAATATAAAGAAAAATATCGTCCATGTACAGTCAGTTGATGACTACTCATTTGGGCCAGATATACCAACAATAGGCAGTAAGAGCATGTACACTTCTATTTACCTATGAACACGAAGCCATTTGGTTTTAAATTATTACAGCTAATTGCTTTAATAACTCAAGTGCTACGAACATCAGACAATACAAGGTATGGCATGGTGGCAAAACGAGTAGTGTAGCATTACATAGAGGGATATGAACCATAATACTATGCGTACTTTATTACCAGTAATCTTTAAGACGGTTGAAAAGTTCTTGACTAAGTAATAATGATAACAGATACAGTTCCCTTCATTGTTATAACTAATGTTTAGTGTTCCAAAACCTACTACGAAACAATAATTTACCAATTAGAGTAGTGGTCAGATCAATAATGTATTGCTTACAGTTGCACTTCATACCTGAATTCTGAAGAGCGAGGAAATCATATAACTGTGGGAATGTAAGGTGAATACCAAGATCAGATCCAAAAAACGTCAGGAAAGAACAAAGTGCAGCAAAGTCAGGAAGAGACCGCAGATCTTCCGGATTCCTAAATTAAATATGAAACAATCAACAAAACATGAACAACATACGGAGGAGTCTCCTTTTCAACATCGTATTTAGGAATATCTGCAATCATCCAAAGCGACCTTGGACCACTACCATGTTAGGCGCTTGGATATTTGTTCAATATTCAATTGGTTCAAATAGTTGTGAATTATACGTAAATGACAGTTTCATATACATTGTTCTTTACTGCTACTATACTTTTCTAAAACCCAGCTTTTTGTCACATCTCAAGCCAATGTTCTTGGAATGCACATAATTTTCTTCTTTTGGATCTGATCTTCGGAAGCCTAATGTCCGGGATTTTACTGATATTCTCGAACGTTTTTCTTAACCCTTTTCCTGTTCTTAGTGCTTTTATTGGATTCAGTGTTAATTAAAATGCATTATATGTACCACGAATAGCCGCTTGTCAAATATACCAATGGTTCACATTTTATATTCGCTGTTCACGTATCAACTGTAGATGATATCTGAATAGTCTGTAAAGTGGTGTCCTGTTCGTTAGACGGAAACACTGACGCAGGATATTCACAGTTCAAAGTGCCGTAGTACGTGAAAACTTAAGTCTCACAACGTCGCAAATATACCTGTGAATAATCGAATTGCATGCCAACATAAATATATGATTGACTAGAAAATAGGTAAACGCCTTGACATTTATTTAGATTTACCATAAATGGTGAGCCTCGTTTGACCATAAACATCAAAACATCAGGCACACAGTGTACACGAATATTTATAGTCGTTTTTGGTTCGAAAGTTACTATGATGTTTAATGTTGACATGTTAAATCTACACAACTTGATACTTATTTCGGAGTAAAAAATCTTACAGACAATTTAACTTTGGAGTGCATTACTTTGATTCCGCTGGTCAGCTTGACCTCAGTTATGTAAATAGTTCGAATTAATTATATCTAAATCTTTCCAATATTTCTTTTTTTGGTTCCGTGTATATGTCTGTTTCTTAATCACACGATCTCTGAAGCCGAGAACATTCAACTTGCAACATTAAGAGCAGGTCAACAATAATGAACGTGGCTACGAGAAATCCAAATGGAATGGATTGGTCATGCAGGAGCGGTACTCTTTAAAACGGCTTGATTTCCGTATCCAGTACATTACTCTCTTAACTCTACCTGTAACCCTTTTAGGGTTACTGGCGGTTCCAAGCCAGGTTGAAGGAGTGCGTTGGACATTGGGTCAACAACGCCATCACACACAATGCAACCTTGGTAAAGCAACGTTAACCAGCGTAAACAGTATAAACCACCTGAATTCTGCCCGAGGACTTGTAGGATCTCCACTCAGAAGAATTATGACGACTCCCGCAGAAAGCTGAGATTCTTCAGAAATCACGAGGACCATATCCCCTCTAAGAACTAGGACGACAACTAATATAGGTAAATGGGACGTCCGAACAATGTGGGAGACTGAGAGTACCAATCAAATAGCTACAGAAATAAGGAGATACAAATTAGTGGTTTTCAGAATCAGTTCAAATGGTTCAAATGGTTGTTGACGGAACAGAAGAAGCTTTCGCTTAACAGGCTACCGTGTCTAGTATCAGGGGATCACCAAATCCTCCAGGCAGGAACCTAGGTATGTTAACAATAAAACAGGAAATCATAGTGCGATACTATCCTTAGTCCTTAAGAATAGATCACGTTGCCTCGTAAGGGACTCCTGGGAAGTCGCTTGGACTAACTCGGCCGGCAGCGAATTCTAGCACTTGACAACTGTTAAGGAGTAGAAGTTGTGTCTACAGTCCGTTCTGCTATGTTGTGTCTCCAGTTTTTGGGTGTTACTCCTTAGGTTAGTGTTGGAACTAAGCTTAAGTAGGTGTTTGAGAGGATGTCCAGAAGTGTTAATGATACTATAAGCCATCAGAAGGTCACCTCTAAAATGTCTATACTCTAATGTGCAAAAGTTAAGTGAATGGAGGCTCTCTTCGTAACGTTTAAATTTGAGTCCTCGAACTGATTTCGTGGCTCGCCGTTGAATACGTTCCAGGGTGTCCTTATCTTTTTTGGAGTGAGGGGGGAAATACTATGATTCCGTACGCTAAATGGAGACGGATAAAACTACTGTAGATTATATGGAACGTTCTTCCGTCAAACTGGCCAAAAGTGCGCTTCAATGTTACCAGTGCAAGGTTTGCTCGGAAGGCATTTTTGTCGCAGTTGGCGTGAGACTTTAAATCGTAGGGCACCAAGACTACTAAATCTTTTTCGACTTGTGATACTACAAGGGGAGAGTTACCTAAGTTATAACTGTAGTCTGCGACATGTCGCAGATGGACTACTTTACACTTTGAAGTGTTAAAGGTAAGTCCGTTATCGTCTGCCCAACTTTGAAGTTGAGTCAGATCCTCCTGAAGTACCTGTATATCGCCTTGGTTGCATATCTCTCTCCAGTTTCACATCGTCAGCGAAAAGTAATAAGTTTTACGTTACTTGTCTAGGAGGATCATTTATGTATTGGATCAAAGCAGAACAGAAAAGGTTAGATTCAGGAAAGATGCTACCGTACTTGTGTCGCAAAAGAGAAAATGCTCCACACACTCAGGGAGTCACTCTAATGTTGTACAAAAATGCACGAAGAGCACTTATAGAAGGGGAGTTTTGTAGTTAGAAATTCATTTAAACATCTTTCATACAAAGAAGGAAAGAATCACAATAAATGTTATTCGGAATTATACACCCACTAATGGTATCACTGACGACGATAAAAACAGTTTTTGCGAGAGTCTACAAGCGATCGTAAAGAAGTGCTCAAGAAGAGGGCTGACATTCCTGGGAGGAGACCTAAGCGCGAAAGTCGGAATAGACAACACCGTGTAAGAAGATATGATGGGACAAAATTGACTGAGAGAAAGGGACAAGAACGGTGGCAGATTTGCAAATTTATGTGCATTTAATAAAATGATTGTAGGCTGCACAATATTTTCCAACAAACGAATGCACAAAGAAACATGGACTTCACCAGATTACACAACGGAGAACCAAATAATATTTGTACCAGTGAAAGATTCAGAATGTCAGTGGACGATATGAGAACCAAGGAGGGAGTCGACATAGCTTCTGACTGGTTGACAAGCTAAAGAAGCACCGAACATTCGGAAAATGAACATGACAACAGGTTCCAGGCTTTACAAGGTGCACTTAAAGAAAGAGAAACTACTATGGCTGCAACTGGAAAGGGATCACAGAAGCACTATCTTCAATGAGTCAGGATATTCTGGACCTCAAGCACAAAGGAACAAGTAAGTAGAACGCTTGAGAAATTTTTAATAAACTAGCGTTATTGAATCCATGAGACATCGAAGCAGCACACACAGACCTTCCTTTAGATGTCACTCCACCAACTGCCGGAGAATTCAGGGTGGCCATCAAACAAATCAAGTGTGTGAAATCAGTAGGATCTGATAATATACGAGCAGAAGCATCAAAGTCAGAGATAGTGGTAAATGTAAGTATGCTTTACGTTCTATTCTGGGATATTTGAGAGGAAGAACGAGTGCCGAAGGACTGGAAATAGGGATACCTCACCAAGATACCGAAGAAAGGAGATCTCAGAAAGTGTGAGGAATGCAAAGATATCACACTACTGTCATTACCAGGAAATGTTGCTGAGCCGAATGAGAGACGCCTAACCTCGAGATCAACAGGATGGATTCCGTAATGATTGGTCGTGTACAAACCGAAATGCGACACCACTGATCATCGCTGAACATTGAGTTCAATGGAACTCGTCACTATGCGTCATTTTCATTGACTATGTGAAAATGTTTTACAGTGTGAATAGGAGGACTTTATGGAAAGTTCTTCGACACTATGGTGAATCTGAGACGATGGTCAACGTAATCTAGAATTTATTCGACGGACTACAGTGCAAATTCGTGCATGGAGGATAGCTGACAGATGCACTACGAAGTCAAACGAGGTTGCTTAATCTCCTCCTCTTTCATCTGATGATTGACAGGATTATGAAGGCTTCCATATTCGAAGGGAAGCACGGAATACAATGAACACATGCATACAGCAAGACGATTTGGACATAAAAGATGACTAAAATCTCGTTAACGAACCCAGGTCAATTCAACCAGTCTGTCAGCAGCCTCCGCACCAATAGGCATCGACATACACAAGAGGAAAAGCGAGATCCCCAAATACAACACAGAAGACACCAAATCAATCACACTTGATCGAGAAACGTTAGAAAAGGTGGAGTATTTCATGTACCCGATACTCAATGTTCATTGACTGGATACTATCAGCAACAACCTACTGTTGAATAGAACAAATTAGCTACTATCTAAAGAGGAACTTAGAAAGCGACACTGGAAGTCGATAAGTAATGCGTTGCAAAAATCATCGAACTGAATCAAGAAGCAAGCCTCAACATGGAATCCTGAAGGGGAACGGAAAAGTGGAGGTCCAAAGAACACACTGCGTCGAGAATTGGAAGCAAACATTAAAAGAATGAGTACAAACTGGAGGCGACTGCAAGGATTTCCCAAGACGGAGTTTGATGAGAAATGCGGGTGGATAGTCAATACTACTCCGCCAAGAGTATCTGGAGTCAGAGTGAAAAATGTTACTCTCTTCTCAGCTCAGGTATGTTCTCCAGTAGTGCCAGATGTTATATTGCTGGGTTTTAAGATAGGAAGAGTTAGTGTAGATAGTGATGTGACTTCTACGTAAGGCCTTATAAATTGGGTAGTCACATCATGACAAATATACAATTTTGGGACTAGGTCTATTATTATAGTGGCAAAGTTAAATGTACTAATACTGATTTAGCCTACAGTCGTACGAGCACAGTATAGTTTATATCAGTTTAGTTCAACGCTGTATATACTTGGTTGTTATGAAATTAAGTGATACTCTAGCATCGGTGTCATTTTTATTCTAATACAACTGCCGTTCATTCTAGCGCAAATACCGACATAACTTCAGTTCATTTATATAGAGGTCTAACGTTGTTAGCAATTTATTGATACTATTATTTTAGTAAAGTTGTGTTTGGTTTTATTGTACAAAAATTTTTTCGCTAAAAGTTTGCATGAAACTGGCTAAACATGCGTTCGGAGAAATTCGTATCCGAGCCCAGTATCTTCTGTATTCGTAATAAAGGACACAAGTATATATCATCCAACCAGTAATGGATGAATGTGACCTGTCTATCTTTAGGAGAACTTACGCTGGTTCATCGAAAATGAGAAAAACATCTTTTTAGTTAGCTGTTGACCTTTTTTCATGTCTTAAGTGTAAGGCTTGTTCGTGCTATGTAGACCACGGCTTACATCTCTGTGAAGTTTGATTAAAATTTAAATGTCCGAATCTCTCCTTCCCAGCAGTTCTCAGTAAATCTATCGAATAATGCCTACCCATCCCTGAAGCAGGGTTACGTACCACCAAATACCTCATCCCAAACCGTAAATATATGCATATCCCCGAAGGGACTTGTGATGTACACTCTTCCGTGTAGATTCAAGATTGCACTGTACACAACATTAAAGTAAATACGTCTTTTCAGACATTATAAATATTGTTCGTATAAGCAAATGTCAAGTCAAAAACATCTAGAAACCGTAGTAGAATCAATTAATTAGTATTGAATATGTAGGTTTGAAAATGACCTTCACAGAGGCGCGTAAACAGGTTCGACTCGCAGATGACCTTGTGGCGGGAGTTGTAAGCAATGTCGAATGTCGGGATGATCTCCATGAAAATGTCTGCTTCATGGGAAGCTGAAAAGTCTTCATCGAATGCCATTCCGAGGTGATTGAGTTTTTTATTCTTGTAAAAGACCACTTACAGAAGATTAGTGCAATACGAACTCGGTCTGTAGGGAGAGAATATTAAGTCTACTAGGCTTATATTATTTTTTGCAGCAATACTATGGAGTTTTAGTTTGAATTTTATGACACTCAACAACAAGAAGTCGTCTTTTTGTATTCTCAGATGTAAGACATAATGAACAAAAACAATCACTTCAATACTTAAATTATTACTGTTTCTTACTTTCTTGAAATAAGAAGTATTTAAGAGCTTAAACCAATCACCTAAGGCTATTTCGAGGCCTAACCTACTGTTACTTCAGGCTTTCGGATTCTTTAGACACGAAGTGGGTGGCTTGATTCAATTACATATAGGCGTCCCACGTCCCAGGTTTTTTATTCTAAGTTCCAAATCTATTGACTCACTATTTGCTCTTTGAATTTATTTATTTGAAGGCGACCTCCTGATTCCGTGTTCGGGGTTCAAATGCTCTTTTTATTCCTCGAACGAAGAAACATTGGTAAACGGTCGTTGCCTATACAATTTATTTTCTACCCTGTTTACATCCGTCTCATTCAAAGTCTCATAGCTTATGTATCTGTCCACAATTTTCTGCTTTGCTCAGTCGTTGGTCAGCAGTGTGACTTACTGCCCACCCTTCATAATGTAATGCTTGGTATCACCGATGACCACAAACTAACATTACGTATTTTAGCAAGCCAGTCTTCACCTAGTCAGAATAGCATTCAGCTTGTTTATCAGCATAGCTTTTATCTTGTTACCTAAATACAATAACTGAAGTAATGCTTTCATGTTAACAGTTCGTAAATAGAATATAACTCGTGTACAGAATACTGCAAAAAGTTGAGCCATGGTTATATCTCACGTAGTTAAACTATCATCTGCCCATCTTTCATGTCTTTAACACCATATTTATGAAAACCTACTTGATACGACTAAAAGCCGTACATACCTGTCGTAGTTTTAGTGTTATATCTGAAGGCGAAAAAACGAAATGACACATCTTTGTTGAAATTTTATTAACACTAAGCATTTAGGATATGTATAGTTTCTTATAGTTTATTGGAATTCTTTCAGAACTTAATTCCACATTTCTCGCCAATAAGTTCACACTTATAACTTGCTCAGTTTACTAAGAGCAAGCGCAAAGTTTGAGATTACATTTTTCTCAAATAGACTAACATAGTCTTCCTAATATTGAACAGTTCAAACCTTATTAAGTATTCACGATTGTTCCATATATGTTTAGTCATCTAATCATTTCGAATTGTGACTAATTTGCAGTAACCAAGTAAAGGTTCATGCACTCACCTATCAGCCACGGTTCGTACATCAGATAGTGATACTACCAGTTTCCCATACTGGAGGAATTACATTTGTTTAGTGTCCTATTAGTTTGCTGCAACTGATTTCCGTTTTGTCTTATTACTCCGGTTTATTGCTTTACTTCATTTTTCATTTCGCAGTTACAGATGCCTTAATTACAAAATTATTTTGTGCTTTAATATATAAATCTTTCCAATGCGAGTAAAAAAATTTTTCTTAGACTCTGTAGCCTTAGTTTGGTGCAAATAATACTGGATAGGCCTATTGAACCTGAATGCCCAAACACAGGATTTTATGTAGTCGTTCGAATGCGTGGTACAGCCCGTCGGGTTTTACGTTCACCTGAGATCACTCTTATTTGTCCACGTGCTTCGCAGCCACAAAATGGGGTTACAAACTTTCATTCTAACAATGTCCAACATAATCCGACTGAGATTGGATGCGGCGACTCAACCGGTCAGGGAGGATGTTCTCTTTCCCTCAACACACCTGGATCCTTAGTTGGCGGTGGCGTTTCGGTTCTTATTGACTTCACGTGCAATATTCAGTATTCACATTTTCTGACTCGTGATTCTAATACGCTTCAAATTTTACTCCAACGTCGTAAAAAGTACAAAAGCAAAGCTGTTAATTTAGGATACAAGACACTTGCTTACTGTAATGTCAGCCTTGCCCAAGTGAGTTCTCCAAGCTTTTTGAATTTGATTTTTATAACTTCTGCTGCCAGTTTCGGTATGTAGCTTTCTCAAGTTGATACAACTAACCTTTTTGAATTGGCTTTTAGATAATCTATCTTTTAATCCAATCATTCTATCATATCCGTTGGTTTTAATGGTAATGATTAGATTAGAGTGTACACAACTCTTCGTCAGCTGTTTGTTTCGAATGATTTGGAAGCTTCATTAGTCTTAAAATATTTATTAAAAAACAGCTCATTAAGCTAGTACTTAAATACATTGCAAACTCATATAAGTAAGACCATTCGGTTCCATCACCATCCGTAATAGAAAGACTACCAAATAATACACTTCTCACTATGTACACTAGTGGTTCAGAATTCAAAGCATTTGACTTCCTACCATGTAGTTTACATCTTCGAACCTTATATCGTTTATTTCGTTTAAAGAAGTTATGTAGTATCATTAGTTCTTGTACAATTTATTATTTGAACACATAAATCTCGGTACAAACGGAAATCAAATATATATACGCCACATGAATTATTCAATTGGGATACTGCCCGGGTACTCAAACTGAAGCAGGTGGTTTTCTTAGGGGGCCACACCCGAAGCATTTGACCTGAGGGTCTAATCCACAAGGTAGTGGAGCGATGTCTGATGGTTGGAGACCCTAAATGACATGGCTCGAAATCGTTTGCAATGGCGCAGGTGCATCCACTCTTTGTGTTCTCCCAGATTTTGATCTCTTTATTCCTCCTTGTCTCTTTTATCTTCCCAAATTTATTTCACTGTATTATACTCTTTAAATAACATCTCCAAACACTAATCTTCCCGATTACTGCTTATACTCTTATTACCTCTACCACTACGGGATTTGGATTGACCACTGCATTTCTGTGCTAATGTGGTGTGGTAACTTGAACTGATGTACGTACGTACGAAGTTCTACGTTGATACTGACTGACTGACTGGAGCGATGTCAATAGATGCAGTCCCATGGTAGCCAGTGACCAACAGTGGGTTCATACGCCATTCGTTCCCTTAGAATCCTAGAGCCTATATGCACCATTGGTTTGGAATCAGGGTTTTCCAACTCCTCTAGGTGGACCATCCGTGTCCACCACCCTGGTTAAACTACCGGACGTTCTCTTTTCGTACTGTCAATTTCGGAGACAACTGTGATGCCGCGAGAAGCCAGTGAGTAGGACTTGTCTGGCAGTTGTTGTATGCACGTGGTCATGTGGGAGCATTTCGAGTGGGAGAGCCGACTCTCCACACTCTCGTCTGTACCAGGACATTTGGGAGCAGTTCTTGTGCAAAGTATACATTAAAACCAAGTTTGCAAAATTTTATTCATTACGCGAATTACGATCATAATCTTTTTTGAATCGGATAGTCGACTGTGCAACTTATACAATTACAATAGAATACTTTTAAGGGTATAGTAAAATACTGTTTGATTTGTGATTATTCGATAAAAGCATGGTTGTAGAACTTCCTTCTTCCCTTACCTTGCATATAAATTCGTATGGAATGATCCTATGACTTCATTGTTTATTTTGTCTTACATTAGACAGATATGTCACATTTAATGTTACCCCTTACATAGTAACTACTATTATTTTTGTTCTATTCTTGCATTGAATGGACCTTTTTCAAAGTATTATCAACTGTTTTTGCACCAATATGGGGACAAAAAGCAAATGCACCTAGTCATATATTTCCTTCCATCACTGTACATTCTTACTACTATACATAAGCATATTTGACTGTAATTAGTATAGATCTTTCATTGTTAATACAGACGGTAATAATTTATTATTTTAGTATTGGTTTCGTAACTTTTCTAATGCATATTTACATAATTACTATGTTTATTTAATTGCTTCTTTTTCAATGTTATATTAAGACAAAATACTAATGCACTAATTTTATTATTTAAGTTGAACAATACCTACTTTCATCCATGAATATAAATAAATATATTGAAGGCTTTCTAATTTTCCCATAACAAACCATGTATATATTTATATGCTCGGCGATTAAAATATTCCCATATATATATATATATATATATATATATATATATATATATATATATATATATATATATATATATATATATATATATATATATATGATTATTATTATTATTATTATTATTAAATCTTGAGTTTTTCTATATTCCAACAAATGCTGATTGTCTGATTTCACCTTATAAAGTATTTCCATGAAATAAGGGGATTTCTAATAACATTAGATGCATTGTGGTAAGGTGTAAAATTATATCAAACATTACATTTCGTTTTAGTGGTCGAACTTTCTCATTCCCTCTGTGTTATGTCAATATCCTGGGTTCGATGGTGTATAGCGATCCAAAGGGAATAAAAACTGTCTGTTAATGAATCGACTACTATGAATTTGTGGGTATTACATAAAAATCCTAATCATTTTTACGTATTGAACCTCTTCTCTTTATTGCCTCAGAAACATAAATGTCCTTTGGTTTATGATGTTCCTGTCGTAATACACATTTATTGGTAATCAGATCAGTTTGATATATTTTGTACAGGAAGCAAATATACTTAAAACTTATGGGGTCAACAAGTAGTAATAAAAATAGATAGGTTGTCATGTAAGCGGTAAAAATAAAACCTTAAGCATCCAGTGGTCGTAACTAAGGATACACACTCAGTGCTCTCAGGAGTCCAAAATACGCCTTGGGTGAAGCGAATAATCTTACGTAAATGTGAATTGTATCTATTAGTATATACAAACCTAATTTAGACAGCTGGATGGCAACGCTAGATCTCACATGAACAGCGGAGCTCAAAACCAACTATAGAAATTTATGCTTTTGCAAATAACTAAAGTTGATGTATGTTGGTAGTCGACTTATCTGGTGACTGACATTTAGAATCTATGCTTACGATAATATTCTACTAACATCAACTACAAACTACTTTTTATTTTCATTTTAACATACACTTTGTTGGGTAAATCTAAAATGTTCAGTGCACTGCTTTTGATAACATTCATTATTTTCAATAGCTCTTATTTATTATTATTACTGAGTCTGTGCATTCATTATTCGCTATATTTTCAAATAATAAATAAGCTATATCTTAAAACATAAAAGAACGGTAAAAGACGCGGATAATGCGTTTATACCATTACGTGCATTTTTAAGTGTAAATTACACTATTTATTCTTCCTTCATAAATTTTAGTTATTCTAATGATTCGATCATATAAATGAGGCAATTACTTGGCTTATGCACACCTATTTTCTTCTTGATAAATTAATTCATTAATTACATTCATGTCACTTATCCTTCTCAACTTACTGAAAAATCCTGTTGATTAGTAAACGTAGCTCACTATTATGCAGTTATCTACTGATAACTTTGCTAATATTGTAAACATATACTGTCAAGTACAATTTTAAAATGAGTACTGCTTAATTATAGCTTTCTTCAATAATTTCGTTGAAAATAAATAATGCAACCCTATCGCCAAACTCAGATACATTTATTAAACGTCGAGCGATATATTTTGTTTATGGTAATACTTGGTCGATCAAACCGAATCAGGTGCAGTCGATATTAAATCTGTGTAGGGCTATTGTTATAAATTCGAACACTTTGACCAATAACCCACCATTTCACAAATAAGGTCACCTCAAGTGTTTACTTATTACAACGCGGTAAAAATCTATTATTGCTATTGCTATTGTAGTACACATTTATAACTATTTTTAGTTTTTGATGTTTATCTTCATATTCCTTCTATCATCCTTTTTTATCGCTAATGACTTCTCATTATATCCTTCTTCTACTATCAACCAGTATATATATTTTTGATTAAAAGTAACTCATAGGTTACTGCATACAATATTGTTCTAGTGTTTTTATGACTTATTTTCTCTAAATGATCTGTGTTTCATATTGCTATTGTTTTTTATCATGAAGTTGTCCTCCACTTTTATTTTTCAGTTCGGATTTTATTATGGTTTTGTTTACTTCCCATCAATTAAGTCTTAGTGATATTTAATTGATTTTCAAAAAAAATTGTAGATATTTGGAATTCTATTTCCGACCTTCATTTCTAACTTTCCTTGTCTATTTTTTTCCAGATAATCAAGTTAGTTTTGAAAAAAATGGTGGTTATTGGTAATGGTACTATTCTAGGTGTTCATTCATACTGTAATTAACTTTCTAATTGTCTTTATATTAAATGGATAGTAATCTAGAAATGTTTGTTTGAAGCACCATAATAATACTGACCTTGTAGTGTCATGTTTGCCTAATGAGGAAGATAAATGGAAATTAAGTCTCATCGTGGAAATCACCGACTGATTGTTTAATTTTTTTGTGTACGTGATTGACGTTAGCGTTGATTATCAACACCAACAAATTAGTCGTAAGTAGGTATGCTGTGACAACTGCAACAATAATTACTCATAGTATAGAACAGGAATAAAATCATAAGGGAAAATGTTTTACAGAAATACTTAATAATTAGTCATCGTATTGTGATAACACATTTTCATGTTTAATCTTTCTCTAAATGACAATAGGAACTAACTTTTTCGATTCTTGCTTCAAAGCATTATGTTTTTATGTCTGTCAATCTCAAATAGTTTTGTACGATCTCAAATTATTATGGTATTCATTAAACCAATCTTTCTATAAATTACATTATTTAAAGCCAGCTGGATTCATTTTTAATGTATTTTCGTCGTGTACCGATTTTTAAGACTTACAGTTTTGACTTTAGTGATAGTGTAAGAATCAATAATATCAATGTTCAGTGATTCGTAAGTACCAGATGTTTCCAAGCTTGAAAATTGGGTACCCAAATCATCTGTTATACAGTAAAGAAATCGGTTCGAATCCCACGTGCAGGATCGTGGATGCGTTCTACTGAGGAGTCCTATACTGGGACGAAACGATCGTCCAGTGCTTCTAGGTTTTCAATAATGGTCTAACATTGATCGATTCATGATCCTAGTTAAAATATAATAATTCTTCATGTATATCTAGTTGTAATTTGCAACATTAGTGCATGTGCGTGTGGGCGTGACACCCACTGATATTGTCATGTTATCCAAACGACTTAGTTGAACTGAAACATGTAGTTAAATGTTTAAGTTTCTGAGTCACAGTATATGTATTTGAACCGAATTGTTGATTTTTGGTAAAAATGGAATGGATATTCTATATTTAGGATGGTTATTATTTTTTCTCCATTAAACTAAACCTTTATTACTCAGAAATGTTTTTAGTTGAAAGTAAAATGATTAGATTTTATCATAATTTAGTCAGTTATTTTCTTTTGTCATTTAAGGTATGATAGTAGCATTTTATAACTTCATTAATATGTGTACACCTCTATGATGACTTACATTTATTTGGCTTTAATTTATATTCATTATGCTTTCATTTGATGTAATTTTAATGTTTATATATATATTGTCGGCAACAAAGTGTATTAATTTGCCGAAAACGTACTATAGTTTTGTAAATCTTCTCTCTCTGTTAAAATACTTATTAATTTTAAAAAAAATAATATATATTATGGAAGTTATCTTGAAAGTTTCTTAAAAAGAAAGATTTCTGTGTTGCAGTATATTTTCTTTTTCTTTTATGAAAAAATTAGGTTTTACAACGTCGTATCGAGAATCGATTTTTAGATTTATATACCGATCCAAAATGTTCCACTCATCCAATTGGTAGAATCGAAGTTTTATACTTATCAAGTTTACCTATTGAAAAAGATTTGTTAAACGGAAAGCGTAAAGGTTAGTAGGGTTTTTAATTATTATTATTGCTATTAGTATTATGATTTATATTCTACAATTAATAATATCGATTCGTTGGTTTTGATAAATACGAAGATATCTCTTATCCCTACCTTATTATTATTCCTTCCTTATCCTTTATATTTCTACCCCACTTTACTTTTTATTTTCCAGTGTTTTTTCTATCCTTCATTAAACATATACTTTAGGGAATTTAATTTTTGCTCACCTGTTTTTTGTAGTGTTACTAAGATCTTAGACTGACAATTCGACGACTGAATTTACATGCATTTTCATGAATGTTTCTGCTGAGTTAGATAGTTCTTTGAAGAAACCTATAGTTTATTTCATTGATTATACTACGATATTGTATTTTTGGTGTGTTACATTGTAATCATCCTATTTGGAACTCGACACTTGAAAAATAGCAACACCTTAGTTAGGCTTAACTTTGTTTTCATTAAATGACCCACTAAATTTATTGCTAATCGATATCACACTCACTATATAGAAATTCCCACAAGTGATGTGTTTTTCTTTTAAATAAGTACATCATAATTCTTTGATAGGAAAGCTCATGTTCTACATTTTAATATTAGCCTTCTCTTTTTGCTGTGAAATTTACTGTTTGTTTTAATAAATACATGCTATCACGGAATACTTTAACAAATTGGTCTACTATTTCAATTACAACAATAAGCTTTATTATTTGGAATAAATAGGATCCATAAATGCATAAATTGTTGCCTTTTCTAAATAGTTTCCAAATAGCATAAGGCAATTATCAATACACGTTGAGATTTAAGATTCAATTTCAATATTGTCACATTGGAACAAATCAAGTTGTTCGTCAATTATATTACTGAAGTTTTAAACTTTTTTTTTTACCTTTAAAACAATGAAAGAAACCATTTGTGTCATTGAATAAAATGAATCTGATTCAAGGGGAAAAATTTTCTTTTCTATGACGTCATTAACTTGAAATGTACAATGATAATTATGGTTAATTTTTAAGCATTCGTGGCTATAATAAAGTAAAGTGATGTTGTATTGTCATTCAACTAAGTTTTATAAATGAACATTTTTTAAAGTATAGAGTATAAGTTGTTCAATAGTCTTAAAAGTGATAAACGGTAAAACATTTATAGAAAAGTTGGTAAATATAATTATCCATTTGATGAATATTCGTTACTGAACCGTCTTCATCCTACTTTATTGTTTTGTATCACACTAGAATGTATATATGATACTTCGTAAAGTCTGTACTAATTAATTGAATAACTATGTCATAAATTTGCATCTATTCATTTCAACTGTTAACCTTATTTAATAGGTATGTTTTATTGCTAAACTAAACAAAGTCTTGTTTATTTCATGTCTAGTACCATAAAATGAGGAATTAATTGTAGGAATTTTTGCACCATATATATTTGGTTTTTCTTATACTTTTCATTCCTTTTTTGACGTCATCATTTCACCTATATACATTAACAACCTTTTTCGTTACTTTCCATATATCCTATTACCAATTAGTCTTTTTTTTCCCGAAAAGCAAGACTTAAACTAACCTAATCCAGCTTTTTTTTAATCTGAAATACTTACATATTATCAGTGAATTATTGTATACACTAATATTTGGAATATAATTTGCGCGCATCAATTAAATGGCAGTATTTAAACATCGGTTTGAAAAATATTTCATGATATTTGAGTTATAATAGTTTTGGCAGGATAAAAAAACAACAATTAATAGTTAAACGAAGATTTTTGTCTTTAAATAAATAGAAATTTATTCATTTCTATTCCTTTAAATAAAATGATTCTTATTTAAAAGTGATAATTTGATGAAAGAAAAAAATAATGCATTTCAAAGTTGATTTAACTCAGCTGAACAAACATTTTATTAAAGCATATATAGTAGTATGCTTTATTGACATTGGTGATCAAAATATTTCATATATATTCAATACACGACTTTCCTACTGCAGATTTTTTCGCAACCATCCAACATAATTATTCTTTTATCAATTTCATTGTTCTGTGCTCAATTGTTAAATGGGTGTATAATAATTAGAGTCTTTAATACGAAGAGAGGTTTGATGAATAAAAAGTTTTCAATGTAGTGGTTTGTCAGCGGTCTTAAAAATACTAACTTTCCTGACTGTTTTTGTTGCTTCACCGTAACTTATCATTCCTCAAGAAATTTTCCTAATATGATTATGGGAGAGAATGAGACCTAACAGTCAGATCATAATTCATTGGAGAGTGAGTAACCTACAAACTCGTATCTTCTAACCACTTATTTCATTTAGTCATATTTATTTTTTGGTTATTACGTTGTGCATAAGCATGTCACAGCTATCCGGCGCTCCATTATTTTCGATTTTTCTCCAGATGAAGTCTATGCATGGTGAGAATTATTTCAAAGTTAATGCCTAGTACCTTATTTTACACAACAGTTGTTCTAATATTCCTACCATATCTGTTAACTGCAAAGGAAAGTAAAATTTTATCCTTATAGATTTATGCTTAGAAATGATTTTGAATTCGCTTGTTAACTGTAATTTCTAAGCGAAATGATTAACATTGCGACCTGAATACGTGACCACTTATTTACAATAAAATTGTGTAGTTTCATATTTCACACTGTTATGTCCTTAACTAAACGATATCGCGAATAATGACGTATACATCCGTACAAGCAGCCTAGGTTTCTGATCGGTCCTTTTTTCACCTAGTCCTGCCTGTTAAGTTCAGAACACCAGTCTCAGCTTCCGCAATATGAATAATATATTTCAAACATAATTGGTTTATAAACAAGCAAAATCAGACCACATCACACCATAAAATAGAAATAACATTTATACAAGATCAAGCCAAAAGTGGCTGTGATTATAAGGAACTGTGACTAATAGATTGAGAATAACTTGAGAATAGTAAATCATATAACAGTAACCGATTAGGAACTTATACTAAGAGGAATATAAATATATGTATAGTATTAGTCCACAACTATATGCTAACAGTTATCTTTCATTATTCTCTTTGGAAAATAACATACACTTTAGTATGTACTTTAATAGATGCTGACTGTCTTAATGTCCCTACAACCACTGTATATAGTTAAACATTCTGTATATTTGTAGGAGGGAGCAATTATTCATTGTTCAGAATATCTTTTATTCGGCGTTTTCTATGGTATGTAGTCTAATTAATAGATAAATTGATGCTGTCAAGGTATCGTTTGTTTCTTATCAAAACACTTCTATTTAATTTCAATTATATTAGCACATAACATATGGGCGGACAAAATTATTTATCATTAGAATACAAATCTCCTTACAAACTGACTTCGATTGAAGAACCAAAGGAAAACGAGAAGTCACTTGACAGTTTCGTTCTAAATCGGGGACTCTTGCCAGTTTCTACCTATGACCTCACACAACATCAGCTCCATTATGTCTCATAATCAGTACTCAAGCATTAACCAACGCGCTTACTCGGAGTAAAATAGTCTAAACTCTGCAACTTCAGTAAACTCTAAATGTAGCTCAATTATTATTCATTTTTTTCTGGTGTATAACCAGCCGTCTATCTGGGGGCATGTTCGGATTCACTAACTACTGTTCCCTACAAAAACCATGGGAAATCCATTTCTTAACTTGTCGTTGATGTGTACACGGACACGTTGTCCCAAATCGGGATTAAAATAACTGACTAGTGCTTCCCATTCACCACCTAACTCTATCCTGTAATAAAAACTTTTCACAAACCACGTAAATAAATATTATTCTCAATCAAATCCTCAATATATATATAGAAACAGGGCTTTAATTTTATTACTTGATAAATTGATGGGCTTTTCTTTTGGTTATTTTAAATTTTACTTACATTTCTGTTTATAGTTGTAGATGAAGATGAAGATTATCCTATACCAGATGTTTATAGTGAACAAGAGGATTCAGATCATGTTGAAGAAAGTGATGACGATCAGATAGCTGAATGTGAAATAGTTGGACATAGTCGTCAAAAAAAGCTTGTTAAAGCTATGTCTGTTGGTGTAAGTACCTATTTGTATATATGTGATTTATATACGTAATTATTATCTGTTTACTGTTTTAGTACAATGTACAATTCAAATAATTGTTTCTAGTATTTAAGTTTAGGTTATTGTATAAAATTGTGACCAAATCACTTTCTATTCTTTTTTGTTGTTAGCTGTTGATTTTGAACTTAATTTATGTAACTGTATTTTAGTATCTGAATTGTTTTACGAATATTCAGTCGGCCATAAAAAGACATACAGCCTGATACAAATATTAATTAATTAATTTTTACACAACTCACTTCAAGACTGCAAATTAAATTTCACAATATAAAAGTCAGCACTGGTAAAGATTAAGCATTAAGAATATAGTTAAAAATGAATTGGGGAGTAGTATAAAATAGCTTCAGATTGTGAGGATAATGAAGAATATATTCATTTGCATCATTGTGATCTATATCTATATAATGCTATTTTAACAACGTAATATCAGTCTTCCACAGGAAATTAAACATCACATATCTTGATCCAACAGCTTTTAACATTCAGTTTACTTCCACGTTAGCCGAGACATTATCTGGGTGCTGGGAACAGGTCATGAGTAATGCACCCGACAATTGATGAGAGTTCACAACCTCACCGTTTCTGACGTTATGATATTAGTGAGAATGTCATTTACGACCACTAATTAGTTGATAAGTCGTATCTCAGCAGCATCACACCATAGCTTACAGAACTCATATCGAGTATGAATAAATTTTCAGAATATTCCAGTATGATAATTTATAAGTAAATCTTAACTGGTTTCATAAAAAAGTTTGTAAATTCACTTGGAAACATCACAAAGGTTTCTTTGTTTTTTGTTTATACGGCAATTTATTGATTATCAAACCATTTTTTGACCATCTTTTGCATACCAACACATTTGTAGTGTATCAGTAAAAAAAAAAGAAATTAAAATATCATTTTTTTTCTTAATCTACATTTCTTTTCTTAAAAGTGTGTAAATGTAAGTGAAATCTTAACAAAATATTTGAGTCAATTAACTTATCTAATATTTAACTGTTTACTATTGTATATTTTTGTGACCAAGTTAACTAAAACAAAGGCTATATACATGTGTTCTCGTGTAGCTAACAGAGCAAATATGATAACGCCTTACTTTTTAAAAAAAATAATAAAAATAAGACATAAAGTAATCATTTCCCATCAATGTGCTTACACGCTATGATTCATTAATTTAAACACTTGATTTCTCAATAAAGGGACAAAATCTTAAATCTTATTCCATATAGTAAAATTCTATTGCAGAACTTCATATTATTCTATGATCCATACATAAAATTATTGTAAAATTTACTTTGGAATGTACATTGACAAAAACATTGTAAATTATCTGTTTTTTAGATCAATGTTTCTTCGTTATTATATTAAAGGGTTTTAAATTTTCTTTTTTAAAAGTATTCGAGCTCAAAAAGATATACACTACTCTTTATAGCTAAAATTATTACCTATGAATAATGATCATATCTCAATTTAATTATTCTTAAAATTACACTTATGACTATTCTCTTGAAATTTTCCATATATTTTACTGGGAATTGTGCTATTGTTACATATCCAAATTGTGTTTGTTTTATTGTTTATCTAAAATGTCAATTTTCTCATCTTAGATGTTAACCTTATTGATGAATGTGTTACTGTTTAATTAAATTCTTATCTAACAAAATATTAGATAATTGTAATAGTGATTTATGATGATTGATATAACCCTACTATGGTTTTTTAATACGAATTGACCACTATAAAACTGTTCCATCTTAATCACTGATCAAGTAGCAGAGAAAATTCATTTGAAACTGAACCAAACCTCAGGATAAGTAAATACTGAGTCATTAAATCGAGCATTCGTAGGTTCATATTTTTATTTTTACATTTCCACCAACAAACATGGATCTGCTGATACTATTGCTGATTAACAAAACTATAAATATTAAATATTAAAAAGGGATTTCTATATTGAATATAGGTTTATATTTACCACTCATAAACGTATACATATAAGAAGTTTTAAGAAAAACATTTTACATTTATCTTACATCATATTTGACTCTCTTGTGAATGGTTAAAATGAACAACTATCTGTAATTAAGTGTAATTTCTATGTTTACGGGTCATTATTAATGTCTTTAAGGAATTACAATTACTGATAGAAATGTACTATGACTAAATTTTACATGTACACATATGGTGATTATATTAAATCTTATGAAAACATGCATCAAATATTCATTTTAAAATATTCACTTCATCTCTTGTTTTAAATGTTTCATTGAAATTTTTTGTAGCAAAAGCAAATTAAGCAAAAATTAATTGGTTTACTGAAAAAATTAAAAATTAGTGATCCTAATGAGGTGAGTTATTAAATATTATAATAAGCATTGTCTCATTTATTTAATTCATCTCTATTTATTTATTTATTTATTTACGAATAACCAATTACATTTTTAATGATAACCTTTATGTATTTTATTCCGTTATTTAATTGATCGTAGATATTTTCAATATATATGCGTTTATTTATTCATTCATTGAAATTAGTCAATATAAGAGCAAGAATCACATTCTATAAATCAACATTCTTTCCTTTGGGCAATTCTAACTTAAAAGAAACGAATGATAATTACTTTTTTTTATCCGTAAGCGAATATGTTAGTCTTAAGTTTACTAACAATAAACGAAACAATCCTTCAGTCTGTATGTATGTATGCATGTATGTGTGTTTAGGAATACTAGAATTCTTATATAATCATATACTGTACAAAGTTTAATTGATCATTAGACCTACTTTATGCTATTCTATGGTATATTTAATTATGTATGTACATATCCCAAGTTAGATTTTCTACAACCTATCTACGTCATTTATTATAAGTTTATTTCCGTCTAACATCATTTATTTAGGTTTTCACAATTACTTTATAAAATTCTTATAGTATGTGTGCATATATTTTGGTTTATTCTTTTCTAATTTTGTACTTCAGTCTCAGGAATTATATTTGTCTACTTGGGACACATTGTATACACGAGATAGTTAAACTGTGAAACAATATAACATCATATAGAGCTTCATCATTTGATTTTTTAATAGTTATGTTAATTGCATCGGAAGATTAAAAAACAAGAACTGACATTAATTTGTGAACGGCAATAAATTAAGAAACACGAAGCAAGAGTGAAACACTCTTCTCAGAGGTGTTAGATTTACAAACTGTTCACTCTGTAGCTTTGCATTCTCTATCTTTTGCAATCAGACTAACATCATGACGACACCGAATGTTGTAGATCGCTTTGAATTTTATTATACGTAGATTAACTTGGTCTGTTACATTTCTACTATCACACGGCTAAAAAGACACATGAACGTTTCTATTTTTGTGGGCTTGGAAAACAGAGTGTTGAGATTTTCTGTTGAAGTACTCAAATTTTATGATGCATTGTGTTTCCGATGCTAATGTATGCTAATAGTCAACTAGCTAACTGCGAATTAATTATTTATCACAAAAAAAATTGGTTGGGTTTTCCCCTTTCAAAAAAAAAAGTTAATCCACCTCGTCATACTGCTGTTTTCGAACGTCGAATTTAGGGGGTTGTATGCTGTCACTTTATGTAATGTGATCTAAAAGATCTTGAAGATTTATGTCTTATCATGGATAACTATTCAACTATAAATTTTGACCTCTTGCGTGGAATTCGTTGTGGATTGTTACAAAAAATTTAGCATTACAGTTCTGTGTATAATTTTAATCAGAAGTAATCCTGTGTTATTGTTACAAATTTTACTGTAACACTGTTAAACGACATCGAATGTCCTCAATAAAGTCAGTGAATTTATTGTTAGTCTTTTCATTTTGAGCAGTTTTCTGATTAGTTTGGTAGTCCAGTCTTTCAGTAATATGCAACGTAGAACCTGACGTATGGGACTGCTCAAGTGTTGCTACACCATATTAGCATAGCGAGTTAAAGTTATTCAGATAAATCCCAGAGTAGTAAAAGTAGTAACGCTATCAGTAGTAGTCGTAGAAAATATTAAGTGAACAAAAAAGTGTAAGTTTTTGGAATTCAAGAAGTAAGAAAAGATAAAAAATAAGTGTACTTGACCATTGCAAATGATCCTTAGTCATGTCACCGTTGGTTACTGTAGTTGGTAAATATTTATTAGTTTTTTGTTTAAAGTCTTGCTGGTAAAATTGGATAAGAATACGTAGCCGACCTTGGGATGAAGGCGTTTATAAAATGTAGTTTGGTTCGTTTTGTTTTCACATTAAAATCGCAAATATTTCTGACCTTATTACTTAGGAAGAAAATTAAAATTATCTTATGTTTTCGATAAATAAAGTAAAAACAACAACTCTTGTTTCACACATCTTTATCTTTGAATGTCATAAAGTTAAAAGAGTGTTTGTGAACAGTACTTTGTTTATTTTTACCGAGTTTGCTAGTAACATTCGTTTTATACATGAGAGAATAATTTGTCCTTGACCGAAAAAAAGAATACTTCCATTATGCAAAACTTGCTATAAGATCAATTTTTAAAATTATGTATACTTATTTCTATGTAATGAAATTAAAATGAAAAATGATCCATTTTATAATTACAGTAATTTCTATTTGTTTAGTTCACATTGAATTCATTCACTTAAAATAGTAATTCACTTTTCTGTATTATAATCTTCGCTTTATGAAATTTTATCATGCCTAATTTTTCCCTTCCTTGTTTATGCTACATGTGTTAGTCTAAATAATTATAACTGAATTTTTTGCATTTATTACATTTATAGGAAAGTGACAACAATATTTTCTTACTTAAATTGTAAATAAAATCCAAATATACTCTAAGTATAAACATACAGTGCTAAATGGATGTTATTTTTTGTGCAATCATTCGTTTCTTCTTAAAAACATTACATTCTCATGTTTATTTTTCTTCATTTATGTCTACATCTTTTTTATTCTTCGCAAAAAACAACCATGTTATCCCAAATTTATAGGTTGATTTAGATGTGGCTACAACATCGAAATTATGGGATGAAATTGATCGTATAGCGACAGCTAGTGATATCGAAGAAGATTCAGATGCGGAAAGTTATAATTTAGTCTCGATTCAAAGTACACCACGACCAACACTTCGACCTTTTTTCGCTACAGCCGGTAGCTCTGATGATACATTAAGTGCTGTAAGTTCACTATAGTTTTTCGTTGTTTTAAATTTATATAAACTCTTCTAGTTTGCTTAGTGATATAGTTTTGTGATGGCTTATTTGTAAATTTTAAAGTACATTTTTATCATAAATTAACATCAAATAAAGAGTGAATAAAGCCCTTCAACCGTTTGGATATTTGTTTCATTCTAGTTTGAATTTTTCTCATTAGGGCTCGTTCACGACATTATACAGTATTAAACCTTGCATTTTGCATCTTGTAGTGAGCATAATGAGTTTACACTACTTAGTAGATATCCACTGATTCACACAGAACAAGAGATTATCGTCTTTCTTTACTGTTCTCTTTTTAAATTATCCTTCATTCGTAAGTTAATATTTACTAGACTTTTGAAGATATTCACAATTTTATCAAGACAAAGAAGTCGATTTTACTTTTCTTTATGCATTCACAGTATGTTGTAACTAAAATATTGAGCGATTGGGCTTCTACTATTTTACTCCGTTATCTTTTCTGCAAATTTCTTAATCATTTATTTTCATCATGTTCTCCAATGAAAAGTTTGATAGCATCATTTACACTAAATAAATTTAGTCCTCCAATAACATGGATTTTCAACAGTAGATTTTGTTTGGAACTTTAATTTTACAAAGTAGTTACTTCTTGTAAAGACGTTATAAATGTGTATTGACATGTCAATATTAAAGGTTGTTGTGTTATACGTAATATATGATCACCAGTAAGCCTTGGAACCTAGGTTACATCCTAGTTGTCACTCGTCACCAAGATATGTCCGCAATCTTTAGGGAATTGATGCTCATCATAGGGTTCAAACTCTGACCAAAGACAGAAACAGTTGTCGGTCCCAACAAAACTCATCTTACTCATTCCTTTGACCAAAGGACTTCCAGAATATATGCTTGTAATAAATATAAACGAACCCAATAGTATGGTCGCCCTATGAAATACCTAACTCACTTATGTTTTCGAGTGAGATATTGGTATTTTTTAAATATCACATTACACTTAAACTTATAAAGCTAAAATTGAAATACTCTAAGGGTTATGCTTCTAGGGAATAAATAATTTTAAACAGAGTGAGGCAGTTTTGCCGTGTATTCAATGTATTTCATCACGAGATACTTTTATAAACTCTGTATTCAATTCTGCTAGTTGATGCAATTATTTAACCTAGATGGCGTTAGGTATAGTACTTACATGATAAGTAATCATCATTTGATGGATGATCAGTTACCATTAGTTAGCTTCAAATTATGACGAACGTAAATAAGTTCTCGAACTTGTAAATTTATTAAGACGTAGGTTGATCAGATGTATAGAAAGTTATGCATCATTTCACTCAAGTTACATATCTTCGGTTTACGAATACTTTCATTGCTATCATAAATTGTCTAATTTTTTACTTCGATCTACAAGGTAACAGTAAACTGTTTAAAACATGCAATATAAGTCACTATTGGTAATTATGTTTTAAATGTATTCATTCTGTTTTGTTGTAAATTATCCTTTCTAACTAAGATTATCTTATCCTTTTAAAATATGTTAATTCTAATCTAGGCAATATAATACAATTGGTTCTTTTCCTAAATTTTAATTAGAACGAAAACAATATGAATTGCAAAATACTTTGTATTCATTATATTCTGCTATGACTGTCGTTCTTGACATACTTAAAAATCCAATATCGCATAAATAGTCTTCTCTGTTGTCTATGTGTTGAGTGTCTGTTACTCAAAACCATATAATTAATTAAATAATATTAAAGGTTGTATATATGGTTCATATTTCCTATGTTCCAATTACTGTATAATAATACAAAATAAGTTAACTAATCACTGTCAGTTTAGGCTAAGTAAATTTTATAATTCCTAGTAATATTTTGCTGAGGAGTCTCATATTAGGACAAAACAGCTGTCCAGTGAAAATATTTTTCATTTGTCTGCATAGTAGATTATCTGTTCACGTGTGTATTATTTGTGACCACCACAATTTGTTTCATTTTGCCAAAGTAATTATGTTTGACACATTTGATCTACATGTTACATAGTTTGTATGAAATTGATATAAATGTTATTGAATTAATGCAAAATCTTTATTTAAAAATATTAGGTCAGTATCACTTGAAAATTTATTCACGTAACTCTGATAATAATGATAATAATACCATTATTATTAATAGCAACAACAATACAAACTTATCTTAATGGACTCCATCATAATTTTATCATTTCACTTATCTTGAAAAAAAACATACGATTGACGAATTCAAAGATTATGTCAGTATTTATTTATTATAAATTGTACTGATATACATTCTACTAGTCCAGATAATCGACTTCTCACAGTTTTAATCATTATTCACCTACTTAATTAATTTGTCGTAAATAAATGTGTTTATCTTGTTGGACAATTGTATGTATTTTATGTATGCAACTTCTACTCTCACATGGATTTAGTTTGTTTTGAACTATAGAGTATTGACCTGCAGACATGCTACTATATATATATATATATATATATATATATATATATATATATATATATATATATATATATATATAAACACTCATTGTAGATGGTGAAATTATTTATCTGCTTTTGTTGCGTCATTTTTAGGATGCTGGAGCGAAATTGTTGAAACGCCTACAAAGAGAGTTACTTGCCCAAAGTGAAACTGATACATCACCGGATACTGTACATCTACGATCCATGCTAGCTTCAGTTGGTAAATCTGTAAGCTTTCAAAACCCATTCGGAAAATCTTCTGGGAAGTCCGATTTATTACCCTTGGAAAGATTTTCCGCACTACCAGGTTCACCTACAACAACATTTACTGATTCTGGACCTTTGCAGTCCACTGATTCTTCACTCTTTCATCGAGGTGGTGGTCATATGATGAGTTTAGCTGGTGGTCGTTTCGCCAAACGATTTGCGCATATTCGACGACGATCTAATTCAAAGCATATTTTTGGAATGCATAGACCCAATAAATCTAACTACAACCAGGAATCTGAAACGGTTAATCAAGTTGTAGAAAATATTACTATGGAAAGTGTAAGTAGTTGTAAATATTTTTCGTTTGTTTTCCTCAGTTTTCCTAACTTTTTGATCTATTTACTAAACTACTCGTTGTTTTATTTATTCATTAAGGAATCGTCAGATGATCACTCTCCAACTGATGGTGGATTAGATCCTTCTTGTTTATCATTATCTCGTGGACAAGATACAGTTTTTGATTATTCCGCTTTACATAATTCTTCGGGAGATTTCTCTCAATCAATAAACCCTACACTTTGTTCTACTCCAGAAGCTAACCGTTCGTATATATTAGGCGATAGAGGAATTTCCAACGGAAATATTGCTTATGATGAAAAGAAAATTCATGAGAAAACACCAACCAATTGTAATACAGATTTCTCAACTAGTGAAAACAAATCTTTTGAAGCATCAGCAAATTCTTTTGGTGTAAGTATTTGAAATAGTGTAGAATTTTTTCGAATTTGTATGCTTCATATATTCTTTTCGTTTCATTTTTAACTTTTATAAGTTTTTTTAATGAGTTAGGTGTAAGTCGCAAGATCCAAACTTTCTTTCACAGAAATTTGTTTCTGATTTATTCCGCAAACATTTGGATGTAATAAGGTCTTCGAATGTTTCAATTAATTTTTAAAATATTTTTCATCAAAAACTGATACCATAAAATGCCGAAATGCTAGGACATACGTCCACCTAAGTTACTATTAAGACATTGACCTTCATTTCGTTTTTGCAGCATCTATATCACACTCAATTACTAAGTTGTAGTTGAAAATGGTGAGACTCTAATTTATGAACGACCTTCGAGGGACGCTAGAGTGACCTTGAGAGTGTTTACCTACTTAATAGGGCTAAATGAGGGTTATAAAGCAGTTTGAAGAATAATGATTATGATTTACATTTGATGGTTAGGGTTAGGAATTAGATTTAGGGTTTTCATCACCAACTGACATCAGCTATAATGCCAAAACTCTATTTAGCTAAATTTGTGGATGAATTTGGCACCAAAATGTAAGACCTGTTATCGTAAATCTGTTTGGTTCAACCATAAATTATAGTCTCACCGTTGAAAATTTCATACTGTTTAATTTCATCGAGTTTACAGAGAACACGTATTTTTTGCTGACTTGATTAACCCTAGAAACCATAAGCTATATTGGAAATTCTTCAATATTTAGTGATTTAAATTGTTAGGTTTCAAAAATTACCTTCACTATGAATTGGTTTGTAATTTTTGAGATAATATCAAGTCTCTACACATCGATTTGCGTATATTGTGATATGTTTTATACATCATGTTAGTAAATCAATTAAGTGAAATTAATTTTCCTTATACTTACGCTTGTTACTCCTTGTGGAGGAGCATAGGCCACCCACCAGCACTCTCCATCCAACCTTGTCCTGGGCAGTCATTTCTAGCTCTTTCCGGTTGTTATTCATCTTGTTTATATCTGCTCTCATTTCCCGACGTAGTGTGTTTTTCGTCCTTCCGACTCTCCGTTTCCCTTCAGGATCCCATATCTTCCAGAGTTTCGCCAACAAGTGTGATTTGGTTGGTGTTCTCTTTGTTGTATTTGAGGACCTTGGTTTCCCCCCTGTATATGCTGAGGCCTACTGATTCAGAGGCTGCTGATGCACTAGTTGTCTCCATCTGCATTTGTTCGTGTGTATGGGATAGGAGGGCTACGTCATGTGCAAAGTCCAAATCGTCTTATTGGTTCTGAGCTGTCCATTGTATCCCGTGTTTTTATCTCAGATGTCAAGGTCTTTATAATCCAGTCAACCACTAGAAGAAAGAGGAAGGGGGAGAGTAAACAATCTTGACTGACTCCGGTCCTTACTTGGAATGCATCCGTTAGCTGTCCTCCATGCACGACTTTGCACTGTAGTCCGTCATATGAGTTCCGGATAATATTGACAATCTTCTCAGGAACTCCATAATGTCGAAGAATTTTCCATAATGTTCTCCTGTCCACATTGTCAAACACCTCATAATCACTGAAGTTGATGTATAGTGACGAATTCCACTCAACTGGTTGTTCGAAAATGATCCGTAGTGTCGTGATTCGGTCTGTGCACTACCAATCCTTACTGAATCCAGCTTGTTGATCTCAAAGTTGGGCGTCTACTGCGTCTTTCATTTTCTAAAAAAACTTAGAAAATGATATATATCCATTTGAAGCCTTAACTCAACATTATGTGTACAACTTTTTTCTAAAATTAACATACTTAGTCGATTGAATCCTGCTTAACAGAAACCATAATATCTTAATATAAGGAAAATTATATTAAGCTATTCTGGTTTTTGTTTCTGTTAAACAGGATTCAATCGACTTAGTATATTAATTTTTAAAAGAAATGTTGTACACATCATGTTGAGTTAATTCTTCAAATCGATAAATTTCATTTTCTATGTTTTTCGGTTTAATAAGATTGTTTCTTAACAACAGGCCATATTTCTTTGCTTAACATAAAACTTATCGTAACCCATGTTTGGAGACTCTGGGTCACATGGCTCAGAATCGATCACAATGGCGTACGTGTATACACTCCGTCTTACCTTAAATTATGAGATTAAAATAACTCTATACCTTTCTTTCTACGAACCGATTCTTTTTCCCGGTATGATATATATGCAAACTTTTCTTATTTAATACCATTGAAATAACTGCTTCTATTAATTAAGTGTTCATCTTGTTGTGCTAATGAGGTATGGCAACTTGAACCTATGAATATATAAGCCTGGTCCTACGTTATAGCTGACTAACTGATTGTTTAGTTTCGTCAAAAGTTGTTTTTAAATAAACCTTTTTAAGTAGGCATATTCATCCAAATATTAATTTGAAAGATAATAGATATTTGATATTTAAGTATGTTAGATGTTGACTGGTATGTTTATGATTATGTAATCTGCGTAAACCATGCAGTAATAACCACGGCTCATTAATTGCAATTCGTTGTACAAGATTTCTTGAAACACTTATTGTGACGAGTGATATTTCTGGCCACTTATCTAGATTAAAGTTAAATAGTATTCATTTTTAACGCAGTACTCAATTAGCATTTTGTTGAAGGATTTATTCACAGCTTTTATGTATCAGAGACTGATATCATACTATGCTAATATTAAGGCATATTATTATATGTTTTCACAAGTTCAGCATCTATTTTATAACCGTCGATCAATATGAACATAACTATCTATTCACCTTCTATTTGATTACGAAATATCGATCTAAATAATAACTAACTGCCAAATCTGAACATAGCAACTTTCGATTAATTCATTAAATAGGCTTTAGAAAAAATGTCTCTTTCAGTTTTCTTCATAATACACATTAATTTCTATATAAATTAGATTTTAAAATCTAATATAAACAAGTATGATTTTATATGTACTCTTTGAAGCCTAAACTATGCTATGCCTTAAGATGAGTGAAAACGATGGCGCTATGTTTTAATCATTAAGCCACTCCTTACATAATCTAAATATTTGTACCACTGCAATTATTGTTGTTTTTATAAATCTTCAGTTTATTTACTTTATAAGTATATGACTGGATCCACAGTACTACATTTTAAACAACTAGTCACTCGTCAGCTTTCGTACAAATAAATGTCTAGTGCACGAAAGAAATCTGTTGAATTATTGTTAGTACTGGTATTAGGGAGAGTTTGTGGAAAACATTGAACACACTATATTCCACATCACTAACACCGAGCTTAGTTGGACAACCTTTTAAATGGTTCTAACTAAGGTTAGTTTATGATGCAAACTATATTATTGTTACTTTTAGTATTCCGATGTATTTAGGAATGAAAATCAGCGTGCTTACTACTTACAATTACATTTTAACAATGTGATCTACGTCATGGATCTAAAATAAAAACATATATGTAGAAATCGTATTATTTTTCTAATATGATATATTTATACATGTTATATAAAGTTCATTCATCAAGTTTTACAATTCGATTATTGTTAGTATTATACTGGTAGCTTTACATTCTATTTAGTACTTTACTTCGATAATTACTTATAAATTCACATTGTAATGGTAGAGTAACCTTTTGACCTTGATTTTAATTTTATGTTGCTTTACTAGATTAGGTATATAATTGAGTCCTAGCTTTCTATTGTTTATTTCAAGATTACAATGTTGATGACCTATTATAGCCATCATTATCATCAATCCCGATATATAGATATGATTGGTAATAGTCTTGATTGCTTTTGTTACTTTCATTGTTAATATATCTTTTTATAACTGAGTCGTATTGGCAATTGAAAATACTAACAATACGATAACAAGCTTTTTTTCTACCATCCTAATACTTCAACTTCCTTCTTTTTTCAATGAAATCTCATGTTAAAGAGATACTTGTAATCAACTTTTCATAATATAAAATGTCATTAGGTAATGTTGGGTGTAACAGTTGTGTGCTTACAAGATTGAGGTTCACGTTTTCTTGGTGAAGAAGATGCCGTTCAGCCACTGAATTATCCAGTTTACTAGTTACATCCGTCTAACTCCATAGGTATTAGCGGGAACGTTTGCTAAATCTCATTATTCTCACCTTTCTTGTCTCTAAATTATGTTCACTAAAGCAATTGTTTTTGCTCAGATAAAGTTGCTACAATGATTTAAGAAAACATTCATGTCATTGAAGCTTTTCTATACCAACAGTTTCAGTCGGCTTCTATTTCCAACTGCGATTCCATATCTGTCGTAATTGTTTGAGAATATACCGTTTAATTTACTATGTCCTGGTAGTATATGTAGCTAGAAACATGACTCTTTATGAAAATAAATTTTATGTCGTAGATTTACATATATTAAAGGACCTTGGAAAAAAGAAGGTAAAAGTAATTAATTTCCTTAGGGTTAATAAAAAAAGACTTTCCGAAATCAATACTAATTTATTTAGATTGATATCGTGAATGGATCTATGTTAGACCACCACCTAGTATGGTCATTCAGTACTTCCAGGTTTTTAATTGTAGTCTAACATTGATCCATTCATGATATCAACCTAAACTCAACATTCTCTACAACCCTATACTAATTTGTTTAAACTGTCAAGAAAATATACATTGATCATAAAAGTCGTCAAAAGATAGAATACTTATATCTAATCACGACATTTAAATAACTTGATATTATAATTTATACAATCACTATAAACTGGGAAGAAGTAAATCAGAGTAAATGTATGGAAGTGTTTTTATAGTTTTAAATTCTTAAGGAATGAAACTTGAACTTTTTATCGGTTGATATTCTTATAAATATCGATTGGATATTCAGATACATATCTATCCAAAATTTTCTCTACATGGATTTATAAAATAAGCGAAAATTAGCTGTCTGGTTAAGTATGAATTTAGGTTCAGAAAAATTATTATTGGGACCAATTTTTTCGGACATAACGACTATTGTAACCGAAGCATTCAGACAACAGTAGGTTATATAGTTACTTTTATTAATTATTCTAAAATTATTTGTGATCATGATCGGAATGGGGTTTGTGGAGATTGTTATTTATTTATTTATTTCAACACATAGATATTGGTACAAGGAGGCACCAAATACATATGCTCCACACAAATCTCATTTAATTTTTGTGAGGGCTATGATACTGCCCGGGTGCCCAGACCGAAGCAGGTGGTTCCCTTAGAGGGCCACCCTCCGAGCCTTCGACCTAAAGGTCTGATCCACAAGGCAGTGGAGCATTGTGAGGAGATGCAGTCCCGTGGAAGCCGGTGACCAACAATTGGTTCATACGCCATTTGTTCCCGCAAGATACTGGAGCCCATGTGCACCATTGGTCTGGAATCTGGTTAAAGCGCCGGACATTCGCTTTTCGTCCTCTCATTTTCGCAAACAACACCCCCGCCACGAGAAGGCAGTGAGTAGGACTTCCCTGGCAGAGGCTATATACGCGTGGCCATGTGAGAGCATTTCGAGAGGGAGAGCGGACCCTCCTCACTCTCGGCCGTACCAGAGCATTTGGGGGAAATTATAGTAATTTTTATAGTTGAATTCATGAGTCTATGTAAACTAGACCACCATTGAAAACCTAATTGTCTAGCTTACATCGACTCATGAATTCAACTATTAAAATATAATTATGATCAATCTGAAGATACTGTTTTTCTCATAATGACAGAATACAATTAAGACAAAATAACATTCTTTTGTTTTGTAGAACGTATTTGTTAACACGTTATCCATTGACTTGAGAAGAACACACATATGATGCATACCGAAAAAGATAACCTTAGTTTTGATTGACTACCTTAGATGATATGTCTCGAAATTAGTTTTACTGGTACAGATGTATTCATTTTTTATCTTTTGTTAAAATTCGGAATTTCAACATTTTGCTATACGTTTTATTCAGTCTTATTAAAATTTTATTTTTCTGAAAAAACTTACAGTATAGTTCATTACCTTTTTCATTTCTACTCATTAAATTTCCCTTGTACTTATGTGTGATGTGGTGGCTTGGATCGATGCATATTTTTTCCTCATTTCTACAGTTTTATAACTGTCTGATTAAATTAGTCATTCATTTTGAAACTCGATGGTAACATTTGGATAAATAATTTCACATAAAGAAATCGTAAAATTTCAACTGAGATATGTATCCAGGATATATTTATCTCAGATTATTGTTATGGTGAACTATCAGATTTTCTAATATCTTATCTTTTCAAAACACTAATCAAGTGTAATTTAACAGAGAATTAAATTGTTGTCTAATGAGTTATGATAAGAAGACTGACAATATGACAGGAATTTCCAAAACATGACTTGTAGGAGAGCACACGTGTTTGTCGTCTGACAATTCATTTAGTCACAAGACGATTACTAAATAAACAAAAAACTACTGAACGTATGTTAAGTTCTTATCTTTTGAATGATTTCCTTGTTCAGAAAGAAACTTTCTAGTATTTCACATTTTTGTTTTGGGTAATAGCTTCATGTAATTTCTGTTGTTATGGGATTCAGTAAACACCTCATAAGAAATTTGATTGGTAAGTATTTTGACAAAATATAATTTGTAGCTTTTATCATACATACTATACAATATTAGTAGTGTGTTGAATCCAGTTGTTTAGTGGTGTAAATACCAATAAATTAGGTATTTACAAATTAATAAATTGGAATAAATAGATGGATAATAAAACTGCGAAATTTATAATTTTATAAGTAGTCATTTGAGGTACTGTGCTACAAATCTGTAGAGGAATATTACATTTTTTTAATGAGTTTTCGTTGAATTTTTCTCATCTGATATTCTTGTTGCTCTTTTTTAGACTTCTGCGGAAATTAATCCGTCAAATTTAGAAAAACTAGCAAGTGTCACGTTTATTGTTGGTAGTTTCGAAAAATCTGGAAAGGTAAGATCATTTGATGCGTTATTTTTAACTGTGCTTTGTTGTCTTTCGAGTACTTTTCAACCATAGTTATTTTCTCATGAAGCTGACATCTTTGTATTTATACACAATGCTAAAACTATTCTTCATTGGTTTGAATAACACAATGTATGCTTTATCTGGTCAAAATAACAGATTTCTCCATCCATATAGTTTTCTTTGTTAGACGTAATACGAACCTAGGTAATAAATTTGATACTTGTTCATAACCTAGCCTGTAGAAACCGGGTCAAGTCTCTGTGATGGCTTAATAGTTAAAATATTCATCTGTTGATTTGGTCGCTTTAAACCCCAATTCATTTAATTCGGTTCAGGCAAACGCATGTTCGAAAGTGGAACACATTAATCTCTACGTGGTTAATAATTCTTATTTTTATGTTTAAACGTAAACCGACCTATTTATTATTTTCAAGATGATGTTCAATTTTTAATTTTCTATACTATCTTATTGAAACTAAAAATCTAGTGAGTTTTGATATGATACATTCGTCATATAGTGGAACCAATGAGATAGATATTATCTGTACATGAAATAGCAAACAGTTTGAGAAAATAAGAATCACCTTAGATGGGAAGTTTCATATTGCTAGCGTAATATGACTCAATTTATACATTTTTTTGTTGAAAATACGATAAACCACCAAAAGAGCCAATTCAAATGGACAACAGATTGAACATTCAACACATGTAAACAATAATGTGAATCTGCAATTCGTCTGAAAACAATATTCGTGGGTCTCATCAGCACAAACTTCTTCAAGAAGTTCACCACTATTAGGTTCGTTCTTTTGTTTATCCATATGGTGTGACATCTAGACACAGGCAAGAATACGAAAGCTATATAGAGATGTGCTGGACAATATAATCACAGGATATCATATCGCCTCTAATTCGTGAAAGAAATTTCCTCCATCTGCTTGGTTGTTGATGAGACTGAAAAATTCAAATATCACCGGTGAAATTTATAGGAACGTCTGAAAGTTATCCTGTGTTTGATGCAATTAGTAACTACATACTGAGTATAAAATCACTAAAGTTCAGTTACTGACTCCGGATAAAGTATATCTTGCCATATTCCCTTTTAGTACACTCTTAAAATAGTACTGATATGTTCTTACATCATCCGGAAATTTATAATCGCCCGAAACTATCTGTTAATAATTTATGTGATATAGGAATAAGCAACTGTATATCGCAAGTAGATAAAATATGTATGTGATCGAATTTTCTAAGTTTAATACAATTATTCCACAGTCGGAAAAACAAAAACAAAACGTAAAGCGATTCGATTGTTGAAAAATAAAGTGATCACTCAGTTAACAACTGCACCGACAAGATTCTCAACACCAATAACTGATTCACAAACATTTCATCAATTCTTATCATTAACATTGATCGAAAATCACCTCTTTCATCTCTTGTCATGTACGTAAACGACTGAGAAGGAAGAATAAAGCTCATCTTCACACGAAATCTAAGTGTCAGTTAACCAAGAAAATTCAATGTTAAAGACTAAAGTCTTAAAATATGTTCACCGTTATATGATCTATCAACATTCTTTTTAAAACAATGTATATAACTGTAAGCTTCATTAACATCAGTGTCGTTCAAACTGATTTGGTGTTCATCCTCTTGTTTGGGAAGAAAAAAAGAATTTTAGTCAATTTCACCTCTGACCTTTTGATAATATACTTCAAAACACAATTGTTTACTCGAAATCAAACAATATTTTTACACATTTCCTTGTAAAATATTTGATCATACTTGTGTTTATATATCTGAGCCTCTACTTTGGGACCTTGATGATTTCACTCAAGTTATTGATAATTTATTCGTATTTTCTAGGAAAAGCACTGATATATAAAATCGGTTTTCATATTCATCACCTTAGTACAATAAATGCATAAAAAATCACGAAACCTGTAAACTGGTATTTGAAAATTTTAAAATCAGAATAATTTTTTACTTACTTACAGACTACCTGCATAATGTCTCCTGATGTTTTCTAGAACCATTAAGTTGTGGCTAAATCTTTATAACTGACAAAAATCTTTCGTGGTACTTTCCTTGAGTGGAACTATATCCTTTAGAGATTGTTATTGTTTATTTATTTATATTTTCTCACCTTATTTTCTTCATATTAGTATAATATTGCATTGGCATTTATTTTTAAATCGATTATGCGTTACTAATAATGTAATTTTAATACATAGTTCATATGGTAGCGTACATACAGTTTACATCATAATCAGACTTTATCAAGATAATTGTTGAAAATCAAGAATAACTGGACGGTCATTTCGTTCTAGTATACGATTCCGGAACAGTACACATCCATGATCTACCGAGGGATCGAAACTTGAATCTTCAGGTCTCTCAAAAAACACTTAATTTTCAGACTACTATGTAAGCATATGAGCATCCACATTTCTACCTTCAGTCAACTGGTGAAGATCTTGGGCTTGATTTACGGGAGCCCGTGAATCTGAATTGTTAAGGTGTCCTATATCAAAATAAAATCAGTTACCGAATGTTTCTAGACTTTCGCTAGTCATTTAGTTTTAAAGTGAACTACAAGTTAAACAATTTCCGCACTTGCTCTATGCTACTAATATTCATATTAATTAAGTTTTTAAAATGTTTTTTATTCGTTCAATTTTGCAGATTGTATCTAGTCTACTATCTGAATTAAATCTACGTTTATTTAACGTAAATTCACTCATTGAAATGCGTACAATTTTCACACGTTTGGCTAATGAAGCACAAAGCTATACACGACGTATATCCGATGGTGATTATATTAAAATTTGTATACTCGGTGGAAATTTATTAATTAATCTTGTCTTACGTGCTTATGTTGATCAATTAAGTTGTAGATCTACAGAATTGATAACTGCTTTTCGATTTTTCATTATACCAATTGATGGATTAACTAAATATATTCATCATTCATCATCATTACAACACCAACGAAGTCGGAACAATCTAATGAAGACTAATCAGATATCAGAAGTTGGTAGTCAACAACGACAGCAGCATACAATGGATACACCAATTAACACTGGATGTAATCAATCTAATCTGAATGATCGTAAGTTATTCTCATTGTATTTTGTGGTTAATCATTCATGATTTTATTTTGTTCATTTAATCGTTCTTATAGTTGTTGTTATTTTTCTAAAACTCAAACAACAACAATTTTCGCCTCTGAAGAGTAATAAAAGTTCATGTTAAACGAGAACATATCCATGAATATTATAGTTTTCACGAATTGATTATGGAATAATAATAATATTGTCTAGTGCTTAAATAATTCAGATTTAAATTTACTTCCGTCCAACCAAGTCAGTCAGTCAGTAACAACGTAGAACTTAGTACGTACGTACATCAGTTCGAGTTGCCATACCACATTAGCACAGAGATGCAGTGGTCGATTCAAATCCCGTAGTGGTAGAGGTAGCAAGAGTATAAGCAGTAATCGGGAAGATTAGGGTTTGGAGATGCTATTTAACGAGTATAATCCAGTGAAATAAATTTGGAAAGAGGAAAAAAAGGGGCATGAAGAATTCAGATAATTAGAATTTGGGAGAACATAGAGAGTGGATGCACCTGCGCCATTGCAAACGATTTTGAGCCATGTCATTCAGGGTCTCTAACCATCGGTTGCTATCATCTCGCGGTCCCCAACCAGGTAGTCTACACCTACCAACATGACTCAGTCCACTTGTCAGTGACTTCATGGATTTGTGCCATGTTTTGGTCTGGCCGCCCCTAGCTTTCTTCCAACTTACTCCTATACCACTGAATATAGCACGTCGAGGTAGTCGGTGGTTGGGCATACGTAACACGTGTCCCAGCCATCTCAACTGATGAAGTTTCACTACTTCATCAATTGATTTGCCATCCTTACCTAGTACCCGTTTCCTAACAGCTGCGTTACTTACTCGATGGTCCCAGGATATACGAGCAATATTTCGAAGACACCTATGGTCAAATACTAGTAACCTACGGATATTCTCTACTCTTACCGGCCATGTTTCACTGCCATAAAGTAGGACGGGGCGTACTGCTGCGCAGTAAACCCGTCCTTTGGTTGATAGACGGATATCTCGCCTACGCCATAAATGACGAAGTTGGCGAAGCTAGTCGAGCCTTCTGTATCCGTGCTGAGATTTCGTCACACACCAGACCACAAGGGCTGATGAGACTTCCAAGATAAGTGAAGCGGTCGACACACTCAACTACTTCACTCCCTATCACTAGTTCGTGTGTCGATGTAACCCAATCCTGAAGCAACATTTTGCATTTCGAGGGAGAGAATCGCATCCCGAACATGCTTGCATTGTTGCTTAGAGTGGTCAGAAGACTCTGCATTTTGTCAGCGTCTTGACCAAATAAAACTATGTCATCTGCATATTCTAAGTCAACAAGTGAACCTCGTCCAACCACCTAACATCAAATATTATTTTTAATTATATTCTCTTAAAGCTTTACTCTAATATCCAGATATATTATGCATAAGCACATATATGTAAAACATCAAAACAGTTAAGGTCATTTTGTAGGTTAATGATAAGAATCATATAAATTGTAGAACTATCAATAATAATAAATTTTCACTTGGAATTTCTATCACGTACGCCATGTTCAAAATGAGTTTTTATCTTGTTCTAAAGTATGTAATAAATAATCTAATCTACCAGACAATCATTTTCGATTAGATGTAATAAACAGCAAGCTCCCATCTACTTTTGTCTAACTCTCCAAAAAAATATAGCGAAACTCCCGTTAACTACATTGCATGATTGTAAACCTGATATCTGTGTCCACATAATCATGATAATTTTCATATACACATATTGTAGTACTATACTTATCTTTTATTTTAAAAAGAACAAAATCACCTTATGTATTTCTTATACAGCAGATTCTGATCGTACTTCGCTACCATCAATTCATGGATCAAATTACTTTAACAATCTGTTTACGTTTCATCTTTGTCAAATTGATCCAATTTATGGAAGCTTATTTTCAGAATTATGCAATGAGTCTGCTTCTGTCGATGTTAATTCTACGATGAATGATTTAGATTTGTTAGTGTTACGATCCGAATTGGTTAATCGTATTGTGAAATATCTAACAAATGGTAGAAATGTCCATCCATTTCCTATTGGATCATGTCTTCTTGGCTCATCAAAAAATACTTCAACTAATGTAAATAAAATGCAAAAATCTCTAACTACAGATTGTACTAATGCGATGTCAAATTTATCTTCAACTAATATGAATATTGCTAATCAGTCAGGTCAAGGAATAGCAGACCAAAATGCTAGTTATTCAGATGGGATTTCTTGTTCAGGTATGGTTTCATTATTCTGAAAACAAACAAAGTCACACTGTTAAATGCCTTTAATTTTTGTTGTTGCTGTAACAGAATTGGATTAGGGGGCTAGGGCTTCATATTCCATAAACAAAAAAGATGACTAAGAAATTTAAACTTTTATTATCATTTGACAATATATTAAATTCTCATGATGACATGAATATCCTCGTATGTGAATGCAACTGAATTATCGACCTATATCACCTAATAAACTGTTATCAGAAGACTAGTTAAGCGAAACGGATTTTTTTCTTCCCGTTAGATGCCGGCCAAGTGGTTTAGTGGTTAAGCTCCTGGCGCGAAACTGATAAGTCCTGGGTTCGAATCCCGCGAGGCGGGGTCATGGATGCGCACTGATGAGGAGTACCACAATAGGACGAAATGGCCGTCCAATGCTCCCAGGTTTTCCATGGTGATCTAGCTTCAATTGACTCATGATCTCAACTCTTGAGAATAAAATACATTTATAAAATGGACTAAACACAAAAATACCTAATAAGAAGTCATTTAATGCATAAACGATCAGGAGATACAACTTTTGTTAGTCGAGAGCAAATAAAATTAATACCTAACTACCAGGTTTGTTACTTAACACATTTTTTTTCTTGTAAACGGATTTTCAAAATCATAGAATGATCGTTGCACTTTACAATCGAGAGTGTAATTCATTGAAAGCATTAACCCTTTTTTATAGACACAAATCTTTGTAAATGTAAATTTATAGGTGATTCAAAAATAATTCATCCTTTTCTCTATGTATCTAAATTAAATGTATTCTAACAGGGACTATCCTTGTCACTGATTAAGTTTTCACTTTCTATGTAACTCTAGTTAGTTGAAATGTATGAAATGGAATATCTTTTCGTAAAAGTACTTATCCTAGCATACATTCACTTAAAGTTGACTTAATAAAATTATCTCTGTGATTTTCATTTAAAACTAAAACAATTCAAATCACAAAGTAATGTTTCAAGACAAAAAAATTAAAATGGTCTAGTCGATTTAAAATTACATGTCAAACCCTGTTAATTATTATGATTTACTGAAACCCGTTGAATACACATTTCTTTCACTCTTAGATATCTTAATTTACGTTTGAATATATAGTTCTTAATGTTGTGTTCTTTATTTATTTATTTATGATGTTTATGTTTATTTTATTTATATAATAAATAGTCAATGTTGATACGTAAAGTATATAACTCAGTAAACAATTACTATTTTCATGAATATATACATTGCTTTTTATATGAACTTACGTAGAAAGTGTAGCCACTAATGAATAGTACTAGTGTAGTGAACAAAAACTCAGGTGGGGAAAAACGAACTTATTGTTTAATACACAGAATGACTTGGAAAATCATGACAAATATACATTAAATACATCATTTGAACAGCCTTTTTTTACATACTCCACTGTTCCTCTGACTGTTGTTATTTCAATCGCTTTCCGATTTCCTTCCTGTTCTCTTCATCCCAATCTTCTACTAGCAGGCATTCCACTCCCGATTGCTGCTACTTTCTTCTTATATTTGTCAGCATACATTACAATAGCAGCAGTATGACTAGAAGTAATTATTAAACGTGTATATACTAATGAATAAACAATTCAATATTTCTCAGTCAAACTTCGAAGTAATAAAGAAAAAATGAAACAGGTTCATTCGACATCTTTAGTTTATCAGTTATACAACGTTTAAAATTATTTTCTCATTAAAATTCCACATTTTACTTTATATTTATGTCCTTTAGGTAATAATAATATTCAGAATGAAGAAATGGTTATTCCATTCATTTTAAATGTTCGTCTAGGCAATTGTTCAACATTAAATTATCCTGGCTTATGGACAACTGTTCCGACACAAACTAAATCTCAACACCAACAGCAGACTAGTCGATCGTTTACTGCCGATCCATCTTCTAATTCATTTAATACATCTACAGTAGTAGCTAATACAAGTACCGCTGACTTTGATTTTAAAACACCTAGTGATCCAGAACAATCTTATACTAAACGTAATATTAGTCCTGAATCAGTTTCACATAATGCAACCATAGCACCAAGGTAATGTACAGTTTTAATTAGTGTATATTCTTATTAACTATATTATTATCGTTTAAGTTTCTTTTATCGATAATTCCATATGTACTTGGAGTATGTAAGTCGTTACGGTAACTGTTACTAAGGCGACATCAATATTGTTGGATTTTGTAATTACTTGAATCCTTACCATCAATACACTTAGTTTTTGATTTCAAATGTGGGCAATTGAAATATGCTAGCACATCTTTCAAGATACTTATATTTCGTAGAAATGATTTTTAAATTGCTCTGTTTCCTGAAATTAATGTATTCTAAATTCTATCAACACTACTCCATTTACTATACGGTAAATATTCTATTCGTTTTAGAGGTTATATCAGGACAAAATGTACTTATTGAACTTTTCTTAATTTCACTTTTTTCTATTAAATAGATTCACGTAATATACTTAGTTCATTATGTAATCCATATGAACTAGGCACATTAATTAGTTTGATTTTTACTAACTTAATTAATATCTAGTCGAGCAGATATACATACAATGAGGAATCTGGTTCAAATGGAAATAGATTACACTATGACGATAGGTAAATAATAAGAGAAAAGACAGAAGACTTGAAATTAATAATAAGTGCACTGTTGGTAGTGCGAAATTCGAAATAAGATAAATGAATTAACTTCGGTAAATAAAATAGGATTTCATAAAAATTCATTTATTATTCAAAATGGTGAAAGTGAATACATCTGAACAAGCGCAATCGGTTTTATAAAACACACTGTTTAATCATGAATTTCATTCATGATCAACAAATCTACGTATTTTCTGTATCTCACGATATGTAATGTAGATTGAATCAGAGAGGCTTTTGGTGTATATGTGGTGCAACTTTGTCAATCAAAAATCTATCTGGACTAATCTGATCGGCCAAGGCTTGCAGTGGCTATGAGTTGGGGAGACTGCGAATAATAAGTTGGCAATAGATTAAGAGTAGTCGATCATATGACATTAGTTAATGGGTCAAACGAAATCTGTGATAAAAGAAATATGTATGTATATAATAATCTAGTTAGTTAATAGTTATACAGTAATAATATATATATCATAGCCCCAAAATGCCCTGGTACGGCCGAGAGTGGGGAGAGTCCGTTCTCCCTCTCGAAATGCTATCACATGGACACGCGGATATAGCCTCTGCCAGGGAAGTCCTACTCACTGCCTTCTCGTGGCAGGGGTGTTGTTTACGAAAATGAGAGGACGAAAAGCGAATGTCCGGCGCTTTAACCGGATTCCAAACCATTGGTGCACATGGGCTCCAGGATCCTGAGGGAACAAACTGCGTATGAACCGATCGTTGGTCACCGGCTACCATGGAACTGCATCTCCTCACGATGCTTCATTGCCTTGTGGATTAGACCTTTAGGTCGAAGGTTCGGGGAGTGGCCTCCTAAGAAAACCACCTGCTTCGGTCTGGGCACCCGGGCAGTATCACTGCCCTCACATATGTCGAATGAGATTTGTGTGGCGCATATGTATTTGGTGCCTCATTGTACCGATTTTTATGTGTTAAAATAATAAATAATAATAATATATATCATAATAGTCCATCAATTAATCCTGACCGTTGCCATTGATTTAAGCTTCGTCGAATATAACAATTACAGCAATTTATATAACTTAGTTATCATTCTGTGGATAAGGTTATGATGAAGTAATTGATTACAATGTTTGAGATTCAAGATATACCAATTAGAATCTCTTAGCTTTTATCGTTGTTTCTTTCTGTCAAACGTTTTTCACATAATATTACTTTACTCTATTTTCATTTTGAAAATCATTTCTTGGGAAATTAACTTTTATCCAACTAATGGTTTTCTTATCTTCGTCTTCGCCTTTCTTATTCTTCACTTTCTTCTTTTAACGTTTTTTTTTTCACTCTCGATTTATTCAGTTTCAACAGTTGTTTGCTACCTATGTTAAGTACATTGATTTTGTTTCCATTTTAGTCTTTCTTTTCTGTTTTTTGTTCTGTTAAATCGTATTAAAAATGTTCTAATATTCTGATCTGTAATTACAAACCAAATAAGTTAGATCTTTTTTTCTCTATATTAATTTTTTAAAATTTTTATTTGATTGTACTTTATTTTGTTTAGTTTTTCAAGTCTATCTGAATTCTCTATTAGATTATTACTTGGCTTTTTTTCTTGAAAATGAATCATTCTTGTACGGATGATTAACATAACCTTGATGTTAAGATTTATATTGGAGTTTAAGTGCAATCACTTGTTTCTTCATGGTTATCTTCTTCAGAAAAGTTAACTAATCAGCTTTCAAATAGGTTCTTCAATGTAAAGAGAAATTTGTGTACAATATCGGAAGTCATGTTTATTATGATTAATACGAACTTGTGAATTTTAAGATGAAAACGTATTGGACGTCCAATGGAAGAAGCTAAAAGAGAAATAAAGACGTAGATAAAGACAATGAATAGTGTCATGTTTACCGTAATTGAATTTAGTGAATTATAGAACAAACGGGAAATTAGTATACTTTAGAAAGTTATATATACGGCAATATAACTTGTTTATAAAGAGTTACCAGGATCATCTTACATCAATGTAATTTTTTATCGAAACAAATCATCATTTTCAAGAAACATTGATTCAATTACAAACTTTATTATCAACATGATGTGACACAATCACATATAGAAGGCTTTAGTAATCCTATGAGATATTAAGGAATCTAAAATTTGGTTCGACTGGACTTCGTGTTTTATCTAATTGAAGGTCAATATTATTGAAATATACACACATCCATAATTAATTACTTGGGCAGTTGTTTAGATTTTAATTACATAAATGCTCTCCTCAGATCTCTCACAAATAATGTTATATAGCATATCAGCTGAACAATTCTATCCGTTAAGCGTATTATCACAAAGAGTATTCTGTATTACGATTTCTTGCTATTTTTAAATTTGTTTTTTCATATGACGTCCGTTCCTACATGATACTTGTAGCGAAATATGCTGTCATCCGAGTATGGAAAAGGTAGTTTTTAATCGACCAGTCACTATCAATTTATAGTTTTAAGCTTGTGTGACAATGCTGTCGTGTAATCAGTAACCAATATCGAATGTCTTCCCGTATTTTTTACTTGGAGAATAAATAGCCGTTATCTAAATAATTCTAATCTACTACTATATATATTAAACGACAGTTTCTATTGATTTTTATTTTGGTTCACCTTATGGTATAATCCTTACGATGATTTCAACGTGTCTGTAAACAAATATCTTTATTAAAACTTACTAGCTTTTTTATATACAAAATTGTAATTGGACCTATTGTGATATTATCTATATGTTTATATTTATATGTATTGGATCATAACTTGGTTACTTCAAAAACAACAATGATGTAAGAATATTGATGCTGAAATCATAGTATCATACGCTACTAATTTGATTAATTTCAAGCGAAATCTCCAACCAACATTGCACTTCAAGATAGGTGGTAGTTAACCATATGTATTACGTGTTCCAACAAACTGAGCCGATGATTCACAGCCTCACCAACCTAGCACCATATGTCTAGCTTCAGCATTGGTTTGTTGGTTGCCCCACAATTAATACGCAATGTCTTGAAAACATATGTGACCAATTACTCGTAACCTATAAATATTTTCTACTTTCATAAGTCACATTTCACAGCCATAAGTAAAACATCACGAGTGCCTAAGTAGTATATTCGTTCTTTAATAGACAAACATAGGTGGCGGAAGTTGTCATTAGGCATCTAACCATTTTGAGGTCTTATGGAGTTTTCGTTTGCCATCAACTCTGCAGAGCTGATGAGACTCCACAGCGCTCAATTTCTTCATTTCCAATTTTTCAGACAACTTTATCGAGGAGAACTGTTCCATCTAAGTACCCTCAGTCATCAAATAAGCCTTCAAGTGAGAGATCAGTCCCTGAGAGATTAGATAAAAAGTGTTGCTACTATTCATGATAAAGTTATCGTGTTCTTGTATCATTTCTCCTTGATTATTTCACTATGATCATTTTAAAGTTGTTTCTTTATCGATATTCATTTGTCATCTATTATTGTTGTTACTGTTTATTTTTTCCCCATTGTTTACATGACTAGAATACGTCGAAATTTTTCACTATCATTTCGTTCACATAAAACACTACTTAAACGAAAATCTTCATGGGGAAATGGATCTTTTAGAACTAATAAAAACAGGAGTAGTGCTAGTAGTATTGCTACTACCGCTACTACACTTTTATCTGATATTCTACCCGGGTATATTAAATATTTACATTCTATACTGCATACGATAATAGTAAATACCATTTCTCTAACCAGCAAACTTTACGCCTTGGTTTTGAGCTTATTATTTATCTGAACCACAAACAGTATATTTACACAATGCTTGTGTTGCGAAGTTAACAATGGTTTTGTCTCTGTATTTATGTGTGTTACTTATGGTATTTTTCTTTCGATATACAACTATTTTAGACAATTTATTTTCCATTAATCTTCCACTCATTTATCTAATACCTTTCTGGAATAATCAATTTTAGTCTAATTTCTGCATGTAACACCTTCAATATTATGATGTTTACCGTTAACTCGGCTTTCTTTTGTTTTTTTTCAAACATGGCTTCATCAGTTTATTTTTTTCTATTTAGAGAGAATTAAAACAAACAACGTATAGTTCTTAGTGTATATGAGAAATTTACTTATTATGTGTTTGTATAAACACCCATTAAAATGACCTATCTGTTTTTAACTTTCGTAAGAAATTTCTTCACATATACTGTTATCGTGAAATAAACTAGTTTTTAAGCTAGAATAATAACAGTGGATAACAATAAAATGTCTACAGTACAACCTGTTAATCAGTTTCCGAACGTGAAAAAATATAAAACAATTATCACCTTTTTGTTCTGTGTATCTTTATTTTGACTTACCATTAGTGAACAAGATCATTCAATTTGAATAACACATTAGTTGGCTTTTTATTGTAAAATGATGTACAATTTTAACTACAATTTAAAAATGTGTGAAAATTCCTTCGTATGTTGGAACTGTGTCGGCATGTGTGTGTATAGCAATTCGAAAATAGTTTTCAAGGTGAAAATTCTCATGTTTTAGGGATAATGTACATTGTTGTATAAATATAAAATCACAATCCGATCAAAGTTGGACAACCATTGAAAACCTGGAGGCACTGGACGGCCGTTTCACTGCATTATGTGACTTCTCAGTGCAGATCGGCGACTTCAAAAGTAGGGATGAAACTCATGGCCTTCGGTCTCGCAAACAGATGCTTTACCTCTAGACCACTGAACTGGCACCCTGTGGTGTTAATGTCTAACTACAATCAATCCACGATATTGCGCGACCACCCGACATGGGTTAGCTCCACTGAGCACAGTTTCTCACTAGAACTCAGGAAATCTTTTTTAACTGGTCACTACTGAGCTAAGCTCATGGTAATTGACCTTTTGGGTTGTCGAGATTGTGGATTAACAATGAAGTCATGAGTCGATCAAACTTTGAAAACCTAGATGTTCACATCTGAGAAGCCCCATACTTTCAGGTTTTCAGTGGTTGTCTAACTTTGATTGGCTCGTGATTATGTTTTTAATTAAAAATTGTCACAAGCCCATTGTAGCAACATAAAGATAGGTTGAATTAAACATGGATTATTTGAAATGTTTCTGTTATAATTTTGTTCTGAAAATTAAATAATGATAATAAGTAAAGATTAACAATTTTTCGTGGAATAGATTATAAATCTGTTTCAGATAGTTAAAGGTAATTGCTATGAAAGCCTTGGACCAGAGTTTCTCACTCCTCGGTACCGATCGTCGAGAATCATCTGCATTCTTGATTGATATGATACTATTGTAGGGATTTAACTTTGTTTTACTGTAAATAATCGACGACAGTGACCTTAATTTCAAATGTCTTAACTGAATGACATTTTTGGAAAATTTGTTAATATACGAATACTGATTAATGTACTAGTAACTAAGCAACGTGGATGAGATTGATTAAAATTAAATTCTCGAAAATGATTGTCGGTGTAACTTATTTATCAAGCATGTGTTAATGTATGCGACATTGCCCCACCTCTTGTATCAGTATGTGTGCTATCAGTAATTCAATTACTCAAATTGAAATATGTGTGCGTCTCGGAGAGAGGTCAAATGTATGATCTAATAGTTCAAAGTGATGATTCAACCATTAAATTCCGATTTTTATTATGAAAATCAATAGTTGACGTTTATTCTGTTTATCAGTGGTGTGCAAACTAATAAACCCATATGTTTACTTTTAATTTTGTCATAATATTTATATAGATTATTATTTCTAACTTACCAAATGTAAACGAAGTCATTATATCAACGTGTATTTGTGTTTGTTAACTTAAGTTTTGTTTGATTAATTAATTGTTTCTTTTATGTCATTGTCTTTCTACGTATCTTTTTGTATAATGTATAACGTATTTTTAATATTTTCATTTCTCTAGGGAATATGTTTTATGCATTTGAATTTCATTCGTACCATTTATTTCTTCACGTTTTCTCATCCAAATAACTACGGAGATTTAAATATTTCATAGAGCATTACATTAGTCTTTTATCCGAAGAAAACTACCTAAATATACGTATATTTCCTTTTTAATAAAACAATTAAAACCATAGAAATATCTTTAATTTACGGGCCTTTTTTTCTTCATTTATAATAATTCATTTGATGAACAATGTGATTGTATAATCATTTAAGATTTCTAATCATGTCCAGTAATAATTAATGCTAAATATTCTATTCATTTAGATTAATCAACAGAATTTCTTATGTTTATTATATTGATTACGTGTTTTTATTTATTATTTCTCATTTAAACAAAGTTTATTACTTTGGATATTTTAGTTTGACTGAATGTCCATTAAAGTTACAAAAATGGAGCTCTATTTAAGATAAATTTAATATTTTCTCATGATAAATTCGAATATGACCTTATCATATAAAGTGGGCCTCGTCGGTCGAGACTTGTAATCATTTTATAATATTGATTTTGAGAGTTTAGAGGCAAGATACTTTGAATCCAGTTCTCTGGCTATTCAAGGCTTTTTAGCAGAGGGGATATTAGCAATCACCATAGGAATTGGTGCTTCCTACGTCATGTGAGCCATTGTCAAGGAAATGATGGATAGTTATTAACTGACTCCAAACACCTAGTAGCAACGCATAGTGCACTTGATTTCGAGTCACTTAGGCCAACAGCCACATTGTAGCTTGGTCGATAAAATTCGATTACTGCCAAAACTCAACACTGATTATTACTTAATGGAACAATTAAGACATGTCACCAACATTATTTTTTGCAAAACATTTGACACGTTCTTGTAGCTGCTAATTTGTCTTCTAATATAATATATTTTTTTCGTCGCACTTTCTATTCATGTTGCTTTTAATCATAATATGTGTGTGCAGCTTTTTAACAATATGCAACTGATATTCTATTTTCCTTTACATGACTTAACTATGTTTGGCTTTGCTGCTTTTTATTACAAACACTTTTCAAATTAATCTACTAAGTACTTCATAATGCGCATTAATAAAATCCTAACAATGAATTTTAATGTTAATTCATACTTCTTTCCAAGTTATTATTAACTACTCCATTTATTAATATTATTTTGGCAAATATAGATCACATTCTTCTACTCAAAGAAGTGGTCAGTCACCAATATTCGGTTCCGATCGACGCCTTTGGGATATTCAAATAGAGTACTGGTCGATACCTAGTCAGACTACAACAATAAGTAGCAATAGTCAAATTACTTCAATGTCATCGTCGTTTTCATCTGCGAATTCTGTTTCAAATAATATAAATACTAACAGTGCTCTTTCTTGTCCTACAAGTCCACCTAGTACAACATCGGATCCTGTATCACCACCGCGACGTTCTACTGTAAAAACTATATCGCCTGGTTTGGTCGTTACGATAGATTCATCATCCAATACAACCGGTTCTATGTTATCTTCGCCACATCGTAATGGTGACATATTTAATTATGGTATGGAATCCCATTCTAACAGTTTAGTTTATTCACCAATTCGTCATGTACAAATCAATTTAAATCAAACACATACTCAACATCTCGCTCTTGGATTATGGACAAAGGAAAAGAAACAAAAAAGTACGTGTTTACCGACTTAAAATGAATTTTTTATTGTGCATATATAGATACCACAACCTTATACACATTCTTTTATATATTACTACCATTTAAGTAACTGCTTCTATGAATTTGGTGTTCATCTTGATGTGCTAATGAAGTGTGGCAAGTTGGACCGATACATATATGTGCCTCGTCCTGCGTTGTAGCTGACTTCCTAACTTTAGCAACCGAGCAGTGTGATTAACTTCTAAATTTAAAATATAGCTCTAGACCACTCACATAAATCCTAACCTTAAAACGAGTATGTAATAATACTGCACATGAATGTGGTCTTAAAAATTTAATTGCACACACTTTAATTTTCTCACTCATTTGCTCTCAACATATGTTTATATAGTCCGACTATCAGAAGTCCGATGACTTTTGAATAGCTCATTCCAATGTTTGATAAGTGCCAGGAATGATAAAATACTTGAATTTAGAATTATTTTCGAATTTATCCATTTTTATTTATTGTGTACTTCAGTTTTAATTGACCTATACTTCAATCATGTTTACGATCTATGTATAATTAACCAATATGCACACTGAGCAATTATTCTATTAAGACCGATATTATTAATCAAAAGTTCTGTTTCTTTCATAAACTAACTTGTTATTTGAAAATTAACTTGAAACCAGTCAATATTAGACTATCAATTTATGGATTAATGGATATTGTTCACCTTTCTATGAAATCGGCATATATATATATATATATATATATATATATATATATATATATATATATATATATATATATATATATATATATATAATATTTCAAGAAATCTGGTTTCTCTTGATATGTTCAGCACTCGAGTTAGTATTCGAATATTAAAAGTAATCAATCTTGAGGAAATATGAGGTAATGATTTTCTTTTTGCTGGAGTTTTTTTCTCTGAGCTGGTTGATGTAGTCACGGAGCTTTCATCGTTATTCTGAACGACATCAACACAAACTTCAGGTAGAAGTGAAGTGTTCTAATTTCTCCACATATTGTTCACTACTCGTTCTGTAGACCTAAATGTTGATTAGTTATTGTTGACCTTTAACCTGTCATTGTTTAGCTTTTTTGATTATATCTACCATTGATTTGATTTTTGGTTCTATATTTGTCCATAATTTTTCTGCTTGGACTAATAGAGGACCAAGAATGTTTATTATCAAACTAGTTTATTGTTTACATGTGCAATTCTATGACAGATATACCATTTCATTGTAGTTTTAATTAGAAATACTACAGATTGTTTAGATAAACCGAAATTTCTCTGAAACTTTCAACCAGAAACCTCAAATATTCTTCCACATTATTCACTTATTTATAGTTAACCTCCTCCGTAGTTCATTTTGTATGTTCTCTCTTGCAACATACATTCGACTCCGTGTTTAATTAATCGATATTTCTTACAACTCTTTAGAAGTCTTCTATATTGTTGTAATTGTCTTTAATCGTTATAAAATGAAACTTCTTATAAGTAATTTTAACGAGTCGTTCAGCTTCAACAAGCTTTTATTTCCACAACAATAATGTTAACAGATAAACAGTGTTTTAGTTGAAAACGTGAAATTTATAAATTAAAATCTTGATATGCTGTGTGATTTAAACGTATCAACTTTTGTTTTCTTGTTTCCAAAAAAAACAGGTATCATTGTCTAATTAACAGTTTTTATTGTATTTTTTCTCTGTTTTTTTCTAATATTGTATACAGAATCTATTTTCAATCGATAAAACTTAATCAATTTTCATTGTGTCTCTCAACTTTTTCAAATATTTCAGTTATGCTAATTGGTCGTAAAGGTAAAGAACTTAACTGCCGTTATGAGTTGATTACTGGTATTCAACGTCTTTTATGTACTGGACGTTGTTGTAATTTGCATAATACCAGTTCAACTAATAATACCGAACGTTCAAAAGATACAGAATCCAGTCATCATCATCATTCTTCATCAGCCGGTTTAATATCAGATTCAAATGTTCTATGCTCTTCAGATTATAAAACTTCAAGTACAATATCTGCATTAGGCTTAGCTTTGACTGGTGGTAATGCTAGTAATTGTGGTTTTACAGGGTTTACTGCGAACAATAATCATATGATGAGAGGTTAGTTACTTTTGTTGTTGTAGTACTAATGACATGATAAACCATACAAGACGAAGTTTGAATATATTAACATGAAAGTTCCGATTTCCTCCGTTCTTGATATAATCTTATAATACAGATCAATTTATCCATGAATGTTCATACACATAGTTCGTTTTACTATTTTAAAGAGAGCAAAATCAAAGATTGGTGCAGAACAATATAAATTCATTCTATTTCGTTAGACTCTCACCAGCTGCTTACAACCTATAATATTTAAAATCAATGTTATTACAGATATTGGGATACTTATAAATACAAAGATGATTAGAGATGAATGTGTTTATCATCTTGTAGCGAAGATTCCAACGGAGTTATTAAGGTCAGAAATTTTTGTTTTCAGTCAATAACTAAAGTGTGAAAGTTGCAGAACATTGAACTAGTGTCCAGAAATCATAGTTTACAAACATAAGATGATTGTGTAATGAAGTAACTGAAAACTGATTAAGAGTAATAAAAAAGGACACTAGTTGAAGTCAGCCAAATATGAATGTAAGAGAAGTGACAGTGATGTGATCAAAACTTGAGAAAAAATCGAAGTGATGAATGATGTAATAAAAAGGATGCCATGTTGCCAGGGCAAAGAAAGGTTTATTACTGTTTACTTTTTGGACGCATATATCTGGTTCTAAACGTTTAATTGTTGTGACTTCGGAAAATTTTAGAAGATTGGAGTTCGATTGTTTATTAATCATCTTGAAAGACTTCAATGTATCGACTTGATATTCTGTATCTAGGGGGTATTTCGAGATGGCACTACTGTTTGCTTTTAATCCACTTGACCTTAAACTTTGGATGGTATGTAGGCTCTCTTTTCTGTTCTACTAATCTGTTTTACCAGGTACATGTGAATTTATATACGCATGGTTTATTTACCTCCTAATTAAGTAGTGTATGGTTTCAGTTCACTTATAAGAATTGTATAATTAAAAGTTAAGAGTTTATTGTTTAATCAATTATTAGAATTCCTGAAAGTATTTCGGCTTTGATTCATCCACCTAGTTCAACTATTGAACCATAATGTGTGATCTTGCAGTGTGAATAGCTACTCAGTTTATCTATTTATATCATATATTGTATATCATAGTTTCAATTCGCTTTAATAATATAGATAAGTAGCTTTTAATTTTACTTTATATAACTTGGATTCTTAATTTTCAACTCTTGAATCTGACGTAACTGGTATAAGTACTAGATTTGTCATTGAACTATCGATTATTTGTTTACTACAGACAAACTGTTTTGAAGCATAAAGTAGTACATTAGTAACTTTGTGTCAATATTTTCTCATGGTTTTGGTGCATACAAATGCCTAAACCTCACTACCAATGTTTCATCTTCGTTAATGTTGTGTTTTCTTATCCTACAAGTTTGGATAGATGGTGTTGAATGGACCGATTTAAAATTTTTCCAAATCACTCCAGTTTGGCGTACACATGTAAAATGTTTCCCAGTTGTTCTATTGAATGCTAATCAGGCGGATACAGCAACTCTAGTCAAATAAAAATAATCATAAGCATTATTATTAGTGCTATTCGAACAAGTTCAGTGAGATTTCTCTGACGAAAAAATAGAGAACTGAATGTATAGTCTGTGTATTTGTATCATTTTCGCATCTTCGGTTATTCTAAACGCCAAATAATAAACCTAATCAAAACAGTGATTAATAGTAATTGTAACAATAACAATGCATTTATCAATGGTATTATTTTATTTATGTTTGTGTGTATTTCATTTCGCTAAAATTATTTTTTTTTGTTTTCATAATCACTTTGTCTTCCAGATTATGTTGTTTGAATAGATTTTGTTTTGTTTGTCTGTTTATAAGATATCCATCCCTCTTATATATTGTAGATACAAGTGGTTTTTAGTTTCTGTCTATCCATTTTCACTACCTGATGACAGTACTATTTCAAATGAATTCTTCTATCTATACCTTTTAAACATTTCTTTGAAAGTTTTGTTGAAACCCACTGTCTTATATTCTGTTAATTTTCCTGTTTAATGCCTGTTTTCTGTCAATCCGAATCAGAATACTTCTGTTTATTTTTTAAAAAGAAATCTAACTTAAGATGTTTATGTCACATCGTCAGGTAGTTTATATATCCGTCCAAACGTTTCCGGTTTTTGTGTTGTGTCTATTTAACTATCTGCATGTTCAGTTTAATTTTTTTTTGTTAATTATCTGATTAATCGCGATTATTTATAGTTTTACACATATTTTATTTTGCTTTTAAGGGAAAACGTTTTTCCTATGAATGTTTTTTCTTCCAAATATATATATATATATATATATATATCACAGATATAAGTATACATCGCTTCGTCTTTCATATTCTGCTTTAGAAATGATTGTTACTGCAAATATCTGTGACATTGAACCAATGTTTTATTTGTCGAATCAAATCATTGAATTAATTGTACATCATATATATATATTTTACAAGTATCAATTGTATCATGAACGTGTCAAATAAAATTAGGTTTTTTCTTTGATAATCTTTACAAATGAAGCATTTTTTTAAAAGAAAAGAAAAAACAGAACGATAATAACATAAAAAAAGGTTTTCTGAATAAATTGACAAGATTTAATGTGCTTTTTGTTGTTTTGTGTAACATTATTTTTATCTAGTTTTAATGCTTTCTTGTTGCTAACACTATATCCTGTCAAAATTAATGATATTTTAAATTTTTTATTATTATTTAGGATCAATATATCTATCTATGTATTATTATTACTATTATCATTGTTTATTTTGTCTGCCATGGCTATTTTATTTTATATTAACTTATTTGTTTGATAACAACATTCTTATTTACAAGCTTTCTGTTCAGTGTTAACTATATTCATTTGAATAAGATGATTAGTATGTTTATATATATATATATATATATATATATATATATATATATATATATATATATATATATATATAGAGAGAGAGAGAGAGCATCTCATTAACTTGCTTTTTGTTCCTTCCAAAACTCACTTGTATGCATATCTTTCGCATAATTATTCAATGGACATTTATCTTTACACTTGTTCAACTCATATTTGGTTATTAAATAAAAACTATAATTTATCTTGAATTTATAATTTTAATGAGGTTTATCGTTGTTCGATTCAAATCATTCTCAGTAACCGAGAAAGAGAAAGAAATATCACGTGATTATCTGGATATATAATCAAAATAAACAAGTTGTTTAATTATGAATTTACTGCCTGATAAAATCAAGTATTCGGTAAACAAATCTAATCTTCAAAATGGAGAAATATTATATACATCTTTATCAATTTAACTAATGAGTTCTCTAATTATAAATGACAAAATTTATAGTATGATGTAAAGTGAAAAAGAAAACTTTTTTCTGCGATTTAATAAAATCTGACTACTTAATCAGTTATAAATAGGCTAGAGCTTAGCACAAATTTCTATCGTTAAAAATTGATATGACGATGAAGAGAAAATTACCAAGCTAAGAGTCAAATAGTAATTGTATCAAAAAGAGAATAGTTCAAGAAAAGGAAAACAATGAAAGCAAGTAATAAGACTTATGAAATAGTTTTACTGAGGTACATTTACTTTGCAAATCGCGTGGCTAATTCTGCTTCTAATATTTATTGCATTCGAACGCGTTCGCTGTATTCTCTGGCTTCACTTCTGTTACAGCCGTGACCAATATAGTACGTGACTGGTCAATTGCGGGAAAACTAGTTTGCATACTAAGTTATGTATAAAGAAAGCTTCGAAACAATATAGTGGCATTGAGATCGGAGTTGTTATTGAAAAACTGGATATAAATACAAACGCTTAAGAGTTTGTCAATTGCATGGAGCGATTTGAAGTTTGCTGTATGACCAAAAACAATATTAAACGTAATAAAACTCTAGCTCATTTCCTTACTTTCATCAGGAGGAAAATGTACATACTGTCAAAAAATTTGGAGTTCACAGAAAAGTTCATTTTACTTGCATATAAAATCTAAGAGCAAAATGTCTCATAATGGTTCGTCATAACCAGCGACAGGTTAGAAATTTTATTTTCGGATTGCAGAAAGAAGAGGTTGAAGGCAATTGAGGAGACCAACTTCAGATTCAGTTATGGGATTGACTGATTGCAGGAATCAGATTACCGTATGTGGAGAGAGAACAGATAAAATACTATTTTCAGATTGCATGTAGTATTTACGAAGTCGTGTCTGAAATTGACCTCCATTCAAGTAATAAGCACAGAATACTACTTAGTTGTCTTATTTAATTCATTCTCAAGATCATGCAAATGTGAGTTGACTCAATGATAATTCTTATTCCGACAAAAAGAGACAGTTGATTTAATTATCCCGAAGCAGTACACCGTTGTACAGTTGCAACCAATGCTCATCGGTACTTTTCGCTGGAATGGTATCTAGCCTAGAGGAGCTAGCTTGATTCGACACTTACTTGCAACAGAAGTTATAACCAACTTGCTGACATCAATCCTTTGGTGGTGGTCACTTCGTTGGCCACTGAAAAGGTAAGATTGGCGCAGACCAGGGTTCAGATAGGTACTCCAAAAGTAGCAGCAGTCTTGTGAACAACCACGCCAGGGGTAGTTGATCGCGATGTGATCAATCTCAGTCCAGGCTTGAGATGAAGAGGGAGGACGCCAGGTGGCACATCGGCGATGACTGTGTCGAAAGTTAGTGCTAGCCAGAAACAGGTTGCGGTCTGTGCACGGTTGCAGTAGGTGGTCTCCGTTATCTGTCCTGTGACTAACAAGTTCCCATCGGCCACCTAAATGACTCTTCTGTGCCCAGACGCCCGACCTCAGTATCCAAGTCTCCGGCTAGTACTAAAATATCTGTCGAACGCACTTTCTGGAGAAGAACGGTTAACTGGTGGTAGAATTCATCCGGGCTGCAATCTGTCGGGGCATTGGCGGAGATGACGAAAAGACATCGTTTCTCATGCCGATTTCTTCTCACTTTGATGGAACTTTCTAATCTAACAGTATATAACCGACTGTTAATGAGGATCCAATCGATTAGTGCTGCCTCAGCTCTAGTGCGACACCAACGCCAACAAGATCAGACGATGCCACAGGGTCTTCTGATAAACACACGGAAAACACGCTTTTTGAAGCGACAGATGGAGAGCGAATTTGTAGAACTTTACCAGTTTTGAATACGGGTCCCGGTTAGACAAAAAACGTCGATATTAGGAATTCCCAAAGACATAGCCAACCTTATCTGTTGTCCGATTTGCATTAATGTGCGAACGTTGAAGGAAGCTAGTTTGAATACTGCACGTGATTTCAGTGTTCGTATTCGGTGATAGCCTTCAATTTTCTGGTATGCCCTCATCTCGTAGTGTTGATCATAGTCAAACGCGACTCGATGCCACACTACAACTGGCAAGCCAAATCTAGGAACACGTCTCAACCTCTGGTCGGATCTTCCAAAGAGCCGATTGCGGCGAGTTTATTACTTATCTATCCGTCTGTTCTACATTTTCATATTGATATTTTCCAATATATAACATTCTGGCAACAACTTAAAATGACGTATAGCGATAAGTCTTGTATTAATATAAGGAACTCTGATGTACGCGTACTGAATCTTAGGCCTCTTTCATCCGTGCGACGATATATTCCACCCTTTATTCGAGAGCTTTCTCCAATTAACTATTTTCCTCGCTGACCCGGCTGCTTGGTAGGGAATGCATACGCACTACCGCCTACCACCCAGCATCAAGTGGTTAAGTTGAACGGTTTCATCGCCAACTTGAAAATGCTCTTCGAGCACACAAAAACGACAATTAATACGAAACCTTACCGCTCATCTTAGGTATCAGAACGAGCTTAAAGGCAGATATTCAATGTTCCGCCTCTGAACTTGTATACGGCAAGACAATGCATCTGTTTGAGAAATTTTTCACACCACGACGCAGTAACGATTTCGATAAATCAGACTACGTCCATCGACTGTCTGAATTTATGCGAACACTGCCTCCGGTGTCAACTCGTATACAACATCGACAGGTCGCTCTCCCTCCACATGTTTTCATTCGAGTAGATTCGGTACGCGAAGACCTGCAACAGCCTTACGAAGGACATTTTCATGTGATTTCTCGACACGAAAAGACCTTCAAGGTTGGTCGACATGGTCGTGTCAAGATCGTCAGCAAGGATTGTCTAAAACCAGCACACGTCGATGACAGTGCCCCACACGATAACTTGAGATCCCTATATCTACTTCAGATCCCACGCTAGATTCGTCAGAGACCTCGTCCTTAAGTCCCGGTCAACCGCGCGTGTCATCTGCACCATCTACGGACGAGAGTTCAGTCTCACGTCCAAATCAGCAGACCACGCCACCCTTGATTTCGGATGAGATTGCAGATTCACGGAGTACGAACGAGACTACCGTCTCACGTTCCGGTTGCCGAATTTCCACCATAGGCGAGCTGATGTATATGTTGAAAAAAGGACACAAAGTAGTGACAAAAGAGAGTATATAAGTGTCTTAGTATATAAAAAAAATAATGTTATCGAATTGATATGAGTTGTCTGAATTTTAACAGTATTTCTAGTTAATATTGTCACTTAATTTTATTTGTGTGTGCTGTGATACTGCTCGGGTGCCCAGATTGAAGCAGGTGGTTTCCTTAGGGAGCCACACTCAGTCTTCGACCTAAAGGTCTGATCCATAAGACAGTGGAGCATCGTAAGGAGATGCAGTCCCATGGCAACCGGTGACCAACGATTGGTTCATACGACATTTGTTCCCTCAGGATACTGGAGCCCATGTGTACCATTAGATTGGAATTAGGGTGTCCCAACTCCCCTATGTGAACTCAACGTGTCAACCAGCCCGAACATTCGCACTTCGTCCTTTCAATTTCATAAACAACACCCTCGCCACGAGATGGCAGTGAGTAACACGTCCCTGACAGTAGTTGTACGCAAGTGGCCAATTGAAAGCATTTCGAGCGGACCCTCCTCACTCTCGGCCGTTCCAGGGCATTTGGGGGATATGTATCACTAACTTATTCGAACATTTAGCGGAAATTCACACTTCATTTTGTCTTGGTCTGAGCAAGCCTGGCCATTAAGAACATCATGCTGGTATGGTTAAGTGTTTCGTCACTTATTTAAATATAATCGCTAAAATCAAACGTGTCTAACTTGCCTATGCACTTTAATATAGTGCCTCCTTCCTTACGGTGTTCATTATCCAATTTTAAATATAAATACGTATGTAACAAGTAATATTTTAAATGGGCAGGTAGCACATTACCTCACTTCATCTTTGTCCGTCT